GATCGCTTTCTGGTGATAATAATCCCTTCAAAAAAAAATAATAATTTGTCACTCAATCCACGACTGTTTGCGAGACACTGCTATGCTCAATTGGCAGCCACATTTGCTCACAAAAAACACTTTACAATATATTCTGTGAAGCGCTTTGAGATGTCTCAACAACATGATAAGGTACTTTATCAAATGCAAGGATCTTAAAGCGCTTCACAGGATTGTGCTGTAAAGTAAAGTGACTGTGTGTTTTGTTCTGGCAAAAGCGGCAGCCAAGTTCTTGTGAAGCACTTTAGAGGCGTCTCATGGATGCGATAAGGCGTTGGAACAAATGTAAGCATTGTCATTCAAGTTAAAAGCAGTTCTGTCATATCCCATCTACATCGGGTGCCAAATTCTGCAGCAGCAAACAAAATTTGTATTGTGAGCCATAGCTTTATTTTCAGGCCACCGAACCTTCTCCGCTAAAGGGACAAGCGGAGGAACTGGTGGACACTGTCTTTGGAGGCATTGAGGCGTCTCTTCTGAAGGCAGAGTTTAAGTTACAGTTTTGTTGCATGAGCATGGGATGCAGTTGGCACTGCAGATAATGACAACAACAACTTGCTTTTATAATAGCAGCCTTCACACGGGGAGTGTTGCAAAGTGGCAGGGTTGTCACCAAGATAAATATTTACCGTTGGATCCTGAAATGTTTCCAGGAAGCAGGCTCAAGACGAGACATCTTGTTTCGCAGCCAGGGTGGGATTTTGTTCCTTGTGATTGTCTGTATTCAGCGACACTAGAGAATGGTCTAGCTAGGATCAACACGCTCGTTTTACAATCGTCTTTCAGCAGCTACCTTTAAGCCAACAGAAGTTCAAACATCTATAAAGCACACATGGTGCAGTATTAGCCACGCTTCATATCAACACTTAACAGATAAGATTTTGTGCTCTAAAAGCACTGGGTAAGACAACTCCACCTGGGTCTAGATTTACTCTATTTATGTAGCATTTTCGAGCATCCAGAAATTGACAAATTGCTGAGGATGATGGCCACTGAGCCAGGCTGAGACCGTGATTAAACTAGACCTTTGCATTTGTGTTCAATTCAGACTGTTTCAGTATGGCGGACACTTTGACAATCTTCCAAACCTGGTCAGATGCAACTATTTATAATGGACCCATGCTTCAATTCCAACTATTTTTGGATACCACATTGATTGGGAGACTTCAGAGATTTATACGGTGAAAGAACAAGCATGGCCTGGAATGGCCCCGTATCCCTTTGATTTGAGTTTTATCGGGGGAGGGGAGATAGGATTCTTAAATAGTAGTAAGAATATAGTGAGTGCTCTCTTACAAAAATACTGTCTGCATTTCCCTAGAAGTTTGAAACTCTATATTTTTTTTCAAATTGAATTAGTCATTTTTCCTGCACTTCTTGTTCAGACTGTTTAGTTCTCTAATGTGCTGCACAATGTTTGTGGGACATCACTGTGTACAACTGGTTGCTACATTTCTCTTTTCACATCAAAAGGATGTCCCAAAGAACCTGACCAGTCTGGTTAGCCTACGGTGCTAAGGGTGGGAATTGATATGTGGAGGTGGGGTGAGGAGGGGAGGAGGGGATAGCTGGCCGAAAATGCGGTCATAGTAATGGTTTTTGACCGTTTTTTCACATGCAATTCACTTATTCATGTAAGACGGCATTGATGCTTTAGTCTTTAGTTTTTAGCAGTGTCTCACAAACGACTGTTTGTGGAACACTGCTGTGTGCAATTGGCTGTCGTGTTTCACCCACAAAATACAGTCAATATATTAAGTGAAGCATTTGAGACGTCTCAATGATGTGATAAGGTGCTATATACAACTCCATCCCATATTCCCTTTGCCTCGCTTCCTCCCTTGGCTCCTTCAGGGCACGCTTTAAGACTCTTCTCTTCAACTGCGCCTTCGGCCACCCTCCTACCCTTTCTGCCCCCCATTCTCCCTGATCCCAAACCCCCCACCCTCACTCTGGCCTAAACACTAATCGCTGACTGTTCAGCGCCTTGGGATGTCCGGCCAATGTGAAAGGTATTTTACAAATGTAATTTTGTAATGTATTGTATATCAAATGCAGGACTTATTATTATTATTATTATTACTCTGACCTTGTAATATGGAGATCTGCAATTGATTTTGCAGGCAATGGAAAAAGAGTGTTGTTTTGCCATTCAAAGTGACTCATGTTATCTGGAATTGGGTCAGAAAATAGCAGCCAGCACTTTCGTTTGATTCCAGTAGGAAATTAACTGATCAGGTTTTGCACAACTCTGCAGATTTTCATCAGGTTTCGACGATGAGACTCTTTATTTGGTTTCACATCAACTTCAGTCGACTTCCTCTGCCAGAGCACGCTCAGATACACAGCGTCTAACCTCTGAGAGGTGCTTCAAGTGAGACGATGCATCTCAAGAGAGTGAGAACTCCTCATAAGATTGGAGAGATACAGAGAACTAATGTGTCAGACGCAAGGATGTGTAATGGTTGGAAAGTCAGCAAATGTTATCCCTAAAGGATCTGGTCTCGTAGAAATTGATCCGAAGCAAAGCCTTGTTTCAATATACGATTAATGCCATTGCGTCATTACAGACCTACCCCACAGAGCTGTGATGTATCAAGACAATTTTAAACTTTATTGATAATAGGAGGCCTAGGAACCTTTGTTTGAACTTCAGATGCGATGTTAAACTGAGATCATTTAGGTGTGTCAATCCTCATGGGGAAAAAAATTGATCATTCATTTCATGGCTGTTTGTGGATCATTGCTGTGTGAAAATTGACTGCAATGTTTGTCTTTAAATACACAATGCTTACACTTTATAGAACCTATAGATATTTTGTTAGGTAAGGGATATGGGACGAGGGCAGGTCATTGGAATTGAGCTACAGATCAGCCATGATCTAATAGAATGGCGGAACAACAACTTGCGTTTATATAGCACTCCTCATGCAGAGTAGCATCCCAGTGCACTTGCCAGTAGCGATAGAGAGCCAGTGGAACCTGGCTAGAACTGGTATGATGTGGGTATGGAGTTTAGTACAGGTGAGGATGCGGACGGAGTAGTTTTGGATTAGGCTTAAGGGGCTGAATGGCCTTCTCCTGTTCCTATGTTCCTAACCTTTTGAGATATTATGGAACCATATCAAATGAAAGGTTTAACTAATAATACGATCCTTGCATTTGATATCGTGTCTTATCACGTCATCAAAACATCTCAAAGTGCTTTGCAGGAATTACTGTAAAGTGTAGTGACTGTGTATTTGTAGGCGAACACAGCAGGACACCCCCACACTGAATCCGAGAGTTAACCTAGACTATGAGCTCAAAGTCCCGAAGTGGACCAATAACCTTCTGACTCGGACGTGAGAGTGCTACCAACTGCGCCGGGCTGACACCTTGTCAGGAAAGGTCTCTATGGGGACGCACATGTGTTGCTGTTGCAAAATGATCCATTTAAATTGACCACTCCAGAAAGTACCAAAACCAAAGTAGGACATCTAGATTTGAGCATCAGATACTTTATGTAGGAATGTGCAAGAATATACAGGGATCTGTCATTGGTGGATGTTCCAGGCTTGGGTGAGCAAATAGTCTTGGATACGTGCCAAGCTGGGTTCAACTCAACTCATGTGGAACGACCATAAAAGGCTTCCAACTTGAACAATACATGACTTGAACGCAAACTTTTTATCAAGATAACAGGAACATAACCCTTTTTGGCAAATGTTCAGCGATGTCTTCTTGGCCTCTGAAATCTCTTTGATCTCAACCAACTGAGCAGTAGAAGTCATCTCGCTGCTTATAATCCTGACTCATTAGTCGCAGCTCGCTCCATTAAGTCTCCAACTTTAAGGTAAGTGTTAGAGAATTATCCAGTGTGTTAGAGAATGAAGATAAATAGTGGAAATCTGTCCATCGTCACGAAAGAACGTGAGATGTGAACTTCTTTAAATTCCGATATTGGATGTTGACTGAGACTTTCAGTGGATCAGATCTTTTGTAACAACAACAGCAACTCGGATTTATAGAGTGACCGTCACATGGGGCAGCATCTTGGAATGCTTAATGTAAGGCACAACACTATGGAGATCAGAGTGTGAGGTCTGGATATCTGTGGGGATCATCAATATTATTGTAATAAATAAATCATCTTTGCACTTGATGTAGCGTCTTTCACATCAGGAGAATGTCTCAAAGCGCTTCCTAGGGTTTTACTGTAAAGTATAGAGACTGTGTATTGTGTAGGTGAAAGTGGCAGCTAGTGTCCACACAGCGATGGCCCACAAACAGCCGTGGAGTGAGTGACCAATTTTATTTGGCGGATTGTTGGCCAGGACACGGGTACAAATTCCCTTCTCTTTTCAAATAGTGCTGTGGGATGTTTGAAGTCCATCTGAATCAACAGAAGGGACCCTCAGAACCTCAGTTTAATATCTCATTCAAAGGATGGCACCTCCAACAATGCAGCACACCTCCAGCACTGCATTAGGAATGTCAGCCTAGACTGTGAGTTCAAAGTCCAGATGTGGGGCTTGAACCCACAACCTTCTGACTCAATAGTGAGAGTGCTACCAACTGAGCCAGACTGACACACAGCTGCAAGTGCCAAAGACAAATGATCTAAACAAGATTGATTAATCAGGATATTTTCTTGTTTTTATGTCGTTTAGCAATTCTGGATTCTTGGAAATAACAAATATGCCTGGTATTTGAGTCTTTTTTTTATAAGAATATCAGTGATTGCAAACTGTGGATGGGGTGGGTTGGGGGAAGGAGGGTGACTTCTTATTTGACTGTCTTGCTCTGAGTTTTTTGAGACGTTTCCAGAGTGCAGTGGCTGAGTGTGTTTTATCAAGCACTGGCACAGATCATCCGCTGTTGCATTCACAGGGAGCTTTGTTCAGCTCATGTCTGTCTGACTGCTTGTCTCTCTCTGTGTGCTCATATCTCGCTGTTCTGATTCGAACCAATCTGCATAAGGACGAGCTGACATACAAGTGGTCTGGCTGGGAGCTGGGGCAGGTCGGAGTCTTGTTTTACCATGTTATAACAAGTGTTCCCAGGGAGTCTGTACATCACCGCCCAAAGTGTTGCTGCATTGCCTCGAAATCAGCAGACAGAGCTGCTCCCCTGGCTTTCCACCAAGCTCTGCCCGAGAGATGTGCAGCTACAGGAAACTATAACTGCAGACTACAACTCCAGCAATCACTGCAGACAATGAAGAAGCATTCGGCGAGAGTGGCGCCCTTGGCTGTTTGCAATTCCTCCGTGTTGAGAGCTTCTATAATAGAAGGTAATCAGAGTGTCGTCGCTGATGGAACCTTTTACTTTAATATCTTGTCGTTGTGGAAAAAACAATTAAAGTTATTGACTAGATTTCGCTCACGAAAGAAACAGTCAATTCATTTTACAGTAGATTCTGTGAAGCCCTTTTAGATGTCTCGAAGACGTGATAAGGTGCTATGTCAAATGCAAGGATTAATATTATTATTATAGCTTTGCAGTATGTCTGTTCTGTATGTTGTTCAGGTCAGTTGTTGTTCCACGTTACTGTATTTGTTGTTCAGCATAATGTGAGGGGCTGGCAGGGAGCATAGTTTTTTAGGCAAAATAGGCAGTTATAATAATATGTTTTGAATATTTTGTGGGTGAAATGCAGCAGCCAATTGTTCCTGTGGATGTAGTGTGTTAGCCCTTCCAGTCTCTTGGAGAGCCTCTGATCTGTGCTGACTAACCTCACGTCAGGGACGTTGTCAGCAGGAAAGCTTTAAAATTCCACACTGCGCAAAAGTGAATGGTCATGAAAGGAACTGTTGGTCAGAATTTACTGTGGGTTTAATTGAAAGAAAGATCTCTGTAGTATAGACTGCCGAAGTGTAGACCTCCGCTGTATTCAGACTATTGTTTAGCGACGAGACTTGTGTGACTCCAAGAGAGAGAGAGAGAGAGATAGAGATGGAGGATTAATCCCTTAAGGTGTTTCATCAGTGCACTTGGTCTGATGCTGGAATGGTTCTGAAATAAGCCATTGCGTAAGATGTGGTGACAACCAGGCTAGAATTCTAAGGACCAGCTGTATAATTCACTTTCTCATTCATTTTAAAAGTGACTCTGTATTCTAGTAGTGACACTATAACATTAAACAGATACAATATGCAGGGCAGAAAGGTAGCAATACACAGGATGGTAACATGGGAATATACAGGACAGGAATATGGCAATGTATAGGACCGGAACATGGAAATACAGTATACAGAACGGGGAAAAACAATTGTGAATCATTCGACTGTTCCCAAAGCATTGTCCAGGCTAGGATGTTCAGTGTTAATCATGTGAAAGTTCTCACCAGCTATGATGAAGCTAAAATATAGTTAATGAACTGACGCTTGTCTAATATCACTCAGAAGTGGGAGATTATTAATATCAAGCCAGTGCGTCTTTAGAGCTGGTGTACAGATCAATAATGTATTTATAGACTGAAGAGTTGCCTAACAATTTTTCTTTAAAAAGAAAATAATCCCAGAAATGGCATAGATTGAAAAGATTGTTCCACAAAATGAATTCTGGGAATTAATAAAGGAACAGTGGATTTGTTGTACCTTTTTCTCAGTTTTTACTCAGTTTATGTGCATTCTTTCTTTGCTGTTGTCACTTTAGCAAATTACAGAATTGTGCTGCTGCTAAAAAGAGCTGGCAGGGGGGTAATGGTTCAAACTAACACAGTTAGAAATTTCAGTCCCAAATGCCTTGAAGTTATAGGAAGTGCTTATATCTGCTGTGCGCAATTGGCTGCTGCATGTTGCCCACAAAATACACATTCAATCCACTTTCTTCTGTTTGAAATTGTTTCCACTGGCGGGTGGGTCAGTAACCAGAGGACACAGATTTAAGATAATTGGCAAAAGAACCAGAGGGGAGATGAGGTGAAGTTTTGTTTACACAGAGAGTTGTTACGACCTAGAATGCACTGCCTAAAAGGAACGTGGAAGCAAATTCAATAATAACTTTCAAATGGGTAAAAGAGCAGGGGAGTGGGACTAATTGGATAGCTTTTTGAAAGAGCCGGCATAGGCACAATATGCCGAATTGCCTTCTTCTGTGCTGTAGGATTCTATGATCCTATGATTAGAACTGACCCCTCTCCCCAACCCAAAGACTGAATAAGTCTGTGTCTCTCCCCCCACTACTTAAAGTAGAAAGGGACAGACATGAAGAGATGGCGCATGAGCATTATTATTTGAAGAATATCATAGTACTGGTAACCTTTAGACATTTAGCAGGTTAAATGATAACCCATGACATTTCATTAGCATTATCCAGACTAACTTATAGCATTTGACATTTCGCAAAGTTTATTCAGATATTAACCTGTAGAACATAACATTTAAAGTTTCAGTGTTAGGGACGGTTTTGCATCCCCCATGTTCCATGACTGTTTTCTTTTTGGAAATCTAGTTATAAGATACTTATAAGATAGCAAATGCTATGCTTTAGAAGAACTATTGTTTCAACACTTTGTTTGTAGGTACAAATTATTGGAGGAATTTGCACATTCCTCACTAAATACCGAACAATAAAATAAAATGTCCCATGTAAAACAAGATTAATTGCCATTTCGTATTTTAAAAGCCCCAAATCTGGCACCATAGCAGATGAGGTGTGTATTTGCCTATAATTTCAATAAAATTTACTTTAATTTCAAGCCACATTTATTTATTTTGTAAAGTGTTTTGAGACATTGACCTTACCTGAAAGGAACCATCTTATTACTGTACAGTTCAATGGAATTGAGTGGTTGCTAAATTTTCGCTTAAAGTGTAAGTCATGGTTGTCATGTAATTATTTAAAATGGGCACATTCAAAATTCTCCTCCCAAATTATACCTTGCCTTTAAATGCTGTGTAGACTGAACTCTGAATAGCCTGGCTCTGACAAAGTTGCTGCTGTTACAAGGGCACTGATCAAACACTTCACTGTTACAGTTGCCATGAGAAATGACTTGATTGCCTAGTTACTAGAGATGGGATTCCAGTCTCACCTGGGATAAACTCTCATGCTACAATCGTAGCGGAGTGGGAGAGGAGATGGTGAGAAAGCTGGGACGAGATCATTTGGGACCATCACACACTGTAACCTGTAGTTGGGCAAATTGAATGGAGCTGATGGCAACTGTACAGATTTTACAAGGCAAGAATTTGAGCCAGACCTTGAACGAGGTGAGGGAGGGAGCGAGTTGGAGGGACTCTGGGATGGGAGATCCGGAGAATAGCCGAGGATGAGTAGAGAAATGAAGGGGAGAAGGCCTAGTATAAGAAAATGAGTGAATAAAGCTATGGTGCCCCATGCCTTATCTCTACAGAAGCACTCATCTAGGATCATGTATTTTTAAAGGAGAATGGTGATCTTCAGAAAGGTCCAGAACTTCACTGGGAGAAATTTGATGCCAGCCTCGATCGTGATGTGATGTTATTGCCTTGGCAATTGACTCCCTGTTGACTTAGGGCGATTGTTTCTTACGACAAGATTTACTTCGTCTTCTCAGCTTTTGCTGCAATATTGGTAACACACAGGAGCGTGCAGCATTGCCAGGTCATGGTAGTGTGTGGTGGATTGATGCTTTGGTCGGTTGTCTTTTGTGGAGGCTGTTGGTGGTCGAGCCTTCTTTGTTACACTCACTTATGTCATGTTATGTTACGCCAGTGTGCAAACCGACGCTTTCCGTGCATTTGTCCTTAGAATATATACTTTCTAACACTTTGGGCTTTAACATGCGATATTTCTTAACTGGAATCGTAGGAAGGAACTCGAATTGCGCAGATAAGGACTCCTTTTGGTAGTCAGAAATACACCAGGTTGACCTTGGAACGCCATTCAAATGCCATTTGTAGAGTCCTGTAGCGTAGCTATAGCACAGTGGTCAGCCCACCTGCCTCGCAAACGAGAGGACCCTGGTTCGATTCCCAGGTGAGGTGAAACCTTAGGCAAGTTTCCTTGCCCACATGCCTCTGTTTACCTAGGAGCAAGTAGGATCTCGGTTGTTAGGCAATTGGTGGATCACTTTCCAGGGATAATAATCCCTTAAAAAAAATTTGGTCACTCAATCAATGACAACAACAAACAGCAACAACTTGCACTTATAGATAGCACCCTCCATTCAGGGTAGCATCTCAGAATGCTTCAATCCACGACTGTCTGTGGGTTATTGCTATGTGCAATTGGTGCCACATTTCGCCTACAAAATACACAATCCATTTTACAATATATTCTATGAAGCGCTTTGAGACGTCTCGATGATGTGGTAAGGCACTATATCAAAAGCAAGATTTATTATTATTATTTATCATTTATACACAGTCACTACACTTTACAGTAATTACTTTAAAGTGCTTTTGGACATTCAGATGGTTTAGGCGGTATAACAAATCCAAGAACGATTGTCATTATTGTGTGTCTTCTAGGATTACGTACCTGCAGTCTTGATGCACGTAATCTTTTGGAAACACTGTGTACTGGGATTCGCAGAACAAAGACCTTTATAATGTTAATATAATTTTCCACTTGTATTCGCAGTCCCCTCGGAGTTTGTATTGAATACAGTAACTAGCTCAATCATGCCTCATTTACTGCTAGCAGCTGACTGACTGGCTGTGATCTATTCCTGATTGTCGGATGCAGATATCTGGAAAATGGGGGAGGGGGGAGTTATTGCAGGGCTATTTGCCAAGCACAACAATTCCATATTGAATAAAGACATTTAATACTAGAAATGAGTGCAATGTTCGCACATGCTGTCCTTTCACACCTGTATAAGATAGTTATGGCACCTTGCAGTGCGCTAAATTGGCTGTTGCGTTTGCCTACAAGTACACAGTTGAGAATTTTGATACTTGCAATTGAGAGCTATTACCTGTGTAACGTTTTGAGACATTTCGATGTTACAGGCATGATATCAGATGCAAAGATTATGAGTTAGTATTGTTGCAAAGAAGGGCTATGGAAATGATTTCCGAATTGATTTATAGAGTTGACTGTCAACAGAACATGAGGACTTCGGAGCAAGTGCATTTTCTACTGGAATCTGATGCGTGCTTTAGGGTTCAGAATTATCGGAACATTTAATCGGTGGGTGGGGAGGAGGAGGAAAGAAAGTTAGTTTACAGTTTGATTTCTGGTGACCCCATTAATAAACATGATGGAGGTTAAAAGTCACCTCCAGCTCTCTGTGAACTACGTGACTAAGAAAAATTCTAGGTCTCTGATCTAGTGAGTGGATACTATCTGATTAAAAGCCAGGGAGCTGTTACTAGTATGGCTTGCAGATACTTGAAGATACAAGAGCATGAATGGCTACCTTGTTCACTTACAAAAATACAGTTACCTGCATGTTGCAATAAATCCTGTAAAGCTCTTTGAGACGTTTTCCCGATGTGCAAAGCGCTAGATCAAATGCAAGGATTGTTATTATTATTATTATTACTCAAAGGTTTTTTTTATTTCAACGTCTTTATTGTCATGTTCACAGAGTGCCTTTCGGGTTAGTTGTATGTGTGTGTGAGTAGGAATAATGAAAGGTCCCTAATATCTATCTGCAATTCTGCCCTCCACCCAAACCCAACAACACCCTTTAAACATGGGATCCAATGTGCAGCCAATTCTTGCTCGCTGAGAATTGTTTTTTAACAAGCCAATATTTGGTCCTGATGGGAGAGGCAGTTGTCGAGTTTGTTAAAAATTTTTTTAATTCTCAGTGACAATTTAGTGCTTGTGGTTATGACCGCTGGTGTTTTACTCTTTCAGACTGTATAAATATTTATTTCCGTAAATATCTCCTGGGTACTTGCGAACATGGTGCAGGCAAACCACAAAAAAGACAAGCCTTAGATCTTTAAGACTGTAACTCAGGAACTCTGTGAGGCAGCATAGTGAAATGGTCTGATTTGGTCTGATAGCATCTCAGTACAAGGCTCAGTGGACGCCACTCAGTCTCGTGGTGCCAGATGCAGCCTTTCAACTCCTGACGTAAAAGACACTTCTAAATTATGGCTTATCAGAGTTCTCTGCATGCCACTGCCTTTTTAACGTAGGTTCTTAGTTCACAGATCTAAGCTCTGATCTCAGATTTGCAGTGAAGACAGTGATCACTCTTGAAAGGAGATGCCCTCATAAAATTTTAACTGGGATTGAAAAAGTAAACCCCACATCAATACTTTAGGATCCACCAAGACCAAGAAGAACAAGAGGCCATAGATTTAGAGTCGGGAATGGTAATTTCAGGACAGACACCCAAAGACTTTCTTTACTCAGGATAATTAACAAATGGATCATATTGCCAGGGAAGAAGGGTTTGAGGCCAGGTCACTGGACACATTTAAAAATAGCTTGATGCTGTGATGGTAGGACAGTAGGTTGGGTATTCTGGAAGGATGAGATTGGATGAGCTGAAAGACCTTCTTTGTCCGACCAATCTTTGAACTTGTGATCTTTCCCAAAGAAAGGGCTTTAGTGCTTTTTTTTCAGTAAAATTGCTCAGTTTTAACATGTCCTGTTTGAGCTCAAAGATTAAATATAGACAACGAGAGAGAAATATAAGAGAGAATATAAGCCTTTAAGCCTGGCCCCGTTCTCTCAAACTCCAAAAATAAATCCAGTGGGGGAGCTGAAATCAATACACACTCTATAAAAGGCCTCCTTATGTACTGTAAACTTTCTAACATTCGATGACTGAAGATTCAGAAGAGAACAAACATTTTTCTACTTTGACATTTTATTTCAGTTGCCACTGAAAGTATCTGACAAGGGTTTGTGATGCCACTGACAGTCACTTTGTGTCCCAGAGAGAGACCAGCTCAGATGAGGTAATGCGGTTGACTGAAGTGTATCCTAAAGATTAAAGGTTTTAAATAGCTCTGGTCACCGCCGGGAGATGATGGTTAACTCATGCAGATCAATTCTCTTGACAGCTCTCTCCAGTCCTGGCAGCAGCAGTGGCTTTGATTATTTCAGAAGCTGTGGTGCTTTTTTTTAAGTAAAATTGTTCAGTTTTACCATGCGCTATGTCGAGCTCAAAGATTAAATATAATCTTTCTGCCTTTACACAGGTGTCTACTGTGTGCAATTGGCTGCCGTGTTTCGCCAAGAAAATACAGTCAATCCACTTTACAGTGTATTCTGTGAAGTGGTTTCAGAAATCTTAACGACGTGATAAGGTGCCATATCAAATCCAAGGATTATTATTATTATAATTGTCATTAGGATGGTTAATGGATGATCAGGGTGAGAAACGGGTCCTCGGTGAGAGCTCAGGGAGAGTTGATGGCTGATGGTTGGTGAGGAGTGGCATCGCAGTGGCGGGCACTGTGGCAACAAGGGCAGTGAGTGAATCCCTCCAAAACACTCGATCATTCACTTCACAGCGGTTTGTGGGACTTTGTTGCGTGCAAGTTGGTTGCTAAGTCTGCATACAAAACCCACAGTCACTGCACTTTTACAGGAAATCATGTGAAGAATGCTTTGAAACACTATAACACTGCTATTATTTATAAGGGCTGTAACTCTTCTTAATTTACTTTCAGGGGAAGAAGCTTCGGAGAATCGCGTGGAGAATCTCAACCCGGAGAATAACGTCAAGACCCACTGTCAGTCGTGCACCACTGTGTTCCTGAAGGTTTTCTGGGCTTTTCTGATCATACTTTCTGTCTCTTCCTCTTGGGTCGGCACCACACAGATAGTCAAGATCACGTACAAGAACTTCTATTGTCCATTCTTTATGACGTGGTTCTCGACAAACTGGAACATCATGTTTTTCCCTGTGTATTACACCGGACATTTGGCAACGGCACAGGACAAACAGTCGCCAATTAAAAAAATTAGGTACCGCTCGCTTTCTATCTTTCATGACTTTTTTTTAAAAAGAAATAATACTTACAGTTACTCTGTTTTGCTAATTAAATATTTGTTTGACAATGTTAAGATAATTCTGATCGCTGATTTTCAATCACGCGCTCCCAGGCAATGTTAGCTGGCAATGTTGGTTGTGCCAGGTAATGCCAGCCTGTATCAGACTGTGGCAGGTGATGCAAGTCTGTGGGAGTCTGCGCAAGGCCATACCAGGCTATGCAAGGTGATGCTAGCCTTTGCTAAGTCATGCCAGATGATACCAGACTGTGGCAGGTGATGCCTGCTTATACCAAGTCAGGCCAGACTCACTGTCACCTTTCCCCTCCCGCACATTTGTGGCACAAACTGGAGCAAGTCTCACTCATTGCATCAAATTAAATTGTGCGCTTTGAACCTCTTAATGAGTCGAGTGATGGGGAGCTCAAGTGTGTATTTCATCAGAACAATCACACTGCACAAACTGACCATCATGATCTCGACACACTGGGATCAGTCGGTCAATTGGTATAAAAAACAACTAAAACCACATAACTTACCATTGAAAACACTCTCTGGCAAGCTTTCCCGCTGCTTGTCCAGCTAGGACCACCCTTCCTGTTAGGGTTTTGACTTGCAAGGTTAACAAAGGCTGAGTGGGAGGATTCCCTCCCCCAGTGACTGGTCTGCCCTCCAGGTCCTGCCGAAGAGCCAGGCTGGTTCTGAGCCTCTGTTTCCCAGAGGTGAAAATCTATTATAAACGTGTCCAAGAATGGCAGTCACCTATTTTAGGCACTGTGGCATTTTCGGAGGTTCTGTCTTTTGCAGGTTTCAGGTGGATGTTAAAGATCCCAGAGCGCTAGTTGAAAAGAGAACAACAACAAATTGCATTTATATAGCGCCTTTCATGTCGGGAGGATGTACCAGGGAATTTAACAATCCTGGTGGAATTTCTCCCGGTGCCCCTGCCAACAATCCCCCCCGAAAAAGAAACAGGAAACAGGTCGCTCACTTCGTGGTTGTTTGTGGAACCGTAGCTTAGTGCAAATTGTGTTCCTGCGTTTTCCTACAAGCTACGCAGTTCTTACGCCCTGCAGTAATTTCCTGCCCAAGGCGATTCAGTGTTGCAGGTGCTACATGAAATGCAAAGATTATTGTCCTAACGTAAGTTTTTGCGTTGAGTGAAAATGAAATGAAATGAAATGGAGTGCAATGTCATCATGTCTCCCCAATCGCAGACCAATCTGCTCATTGCCTGTAGGGAATGCAGTCGGATATTTGGAGAGGACGGACTCACACTGAAACTCTTCCTCAAAAGGACAGCTCCATTTTCTATACTATGGACCTTAACTAACTACCTGTATTTACTGGCTCTGAAGAAATTAACAGCCACCGATGTCTCCGCTCTGTTCTGCTGCAACAAAGCATTTGTCTTCTTGCTTTCTTGGATTGTGCTCAAAGATAAGTTCATGGGAGTCAGGGTGAGTACCTGTGATCGATCGCTAGCACCAATATGAAGCACCTTTTGTTACAGTTGAGAAAATAATGTAATGCAGTCTTGAAACATGTAGTCATTCATTTTGTGGCTGTTTGTGAGATGTTGCTGTGTCTAAATTGACTGCTGCATTCGCTGACAAATATACAGTCGCTACACTTCACAGTAAAATCCTGTGAAGCGCTTCGAGACGGCTCGATGATGTGACGAGGCACTGTATCAAACGCAAGGTCTAATACAATCCATTCTAGAAGCACATGAATAATTGCAAGTCACAAACCCACGTGCTTGCGGATTAAGACCCATTCATTTCACTGAAATTGCCACGCATTTGGTAGGAAAGCGCAGTCACACAGCCATGCTGTGTAACACATAGATGATTGGCAGTGACCCTGTCACAGAAAAGGCCACTGTTCACTTCACTGATCATCAGTGGTGAGACACATTGGTACTTATGCCCAGTTAGAAAAGGTACAGACTGCAACAGACTGTGAATTTATTGCCCTTCAACCAAAACGATAAGCATGCACTTAATCATTTTGGGTACTCTTGGAACAACACCTTACTGTTGAGTCTTTCAATGGCAGTCAATATCTGTGTAATATCACAGATTTTCATTTAATTTGAAATGATAGGATACTTACAATAATAATAATCCATGCATTTGTTATAGCGCCTTCTCACATCTTCGAGACGTCTCAAAGCGCTTCACAGAATATACTGTAAAGTGAATTGACTGTATACTTTGTGGGAGAAACACGGCAGCCAATTGCACATGGCTCCTACTTGCAATGCACTGCCCCCATAGGTGCTAACGCTAGTCTGTTTAAGCATTGGAATGCTGGAATACAAGTACGTAGATGAGGAATAAGGAAGTAGATGAAGTACAATTGTTGAGTCCTGTAACTCAGTGGTTAGAGCACTCGCTTTGCAAGCGAGAGACCTGGGTTCGATTCCTGGCAGGGCGAAACCTTGGGCAAGTTTCCTTAATCCACACGTCTGATAATACTCCCTCAAAAAAAAACAATAATAAATTGGTTATTTCAATCCACGACTGTTTGTCGGACACTGCTGTGCGCAATTGGCTGCCGCATTTCGCCCACAAATATACAGTCAATTCACTTTACAGTCTATTCTGTGAAGCACTTTGAGACATTTAGAAGATGTGAAAAGCTCTACCTCAAATGCAAGGATTATTATTATTGTTATAGATGAGGGATTAATCTCTGGTTGTTTGGATTCATAGGGAAGGAGTTTCTCCGCTGAATTGCACAGCCAGTTAATGGCATGTAAAACGGCCTCAGTACATGAATCACTCTGACATGAATCTGCTGACTGAGCTCATAAAATGACCAACATTAATGCTTTAGCTAGTTAGCTTATCAAGTGTCTCGCTATTTCTCTTTTATATGTAGGTTGTCCCTTATAATAATTTGGCCAATTTAGCTATTAGTCAAGGCTTTTGTCAGTTTTATGATGTGCTCATATCGCACAAGCAGCAGAACTGTTTTAATGAGATGAGGAAAGGGCAGAAACCTACTCAGAATTAAATCACGCTAAGAAAAGTTTTTTTGAAGCGCTTTCTCTGAGAGATCACTAATTTCTGTTGCTGCCGGGATTGTGGTTTTGATAGTCTTGGGTACAGTGATAGATTTCCGCGTGTGTCAGACCAAACAAAAATTCACCAAGCCACTTACACATCTCTACTTTGTGACGTTTAATTTTGCTTCCTCTTACAACCAGCTGAATAACCAGTACAAACCTGCCAGGGTTTGCAAAGGCAAACTGTTCTGTTTAAACTGGTTAATCTCCAGCAGTACCCAAATGCACACTCTTGGATTACTAATCCTTAGCTCTTGCAAATGCACCTAAACTACTTCAGGATTAAGCAAGTAGGGTGCAACTCCAGGTGGGTGTGTGCCTTCCAGTACAGGCAACTGGAAGCAATACATACGTGTAGATTTGTTTGGAGATACTGTGTGTGTGTGTCAGATACCAGCTGAATCCCAAATAAACCCTGAGTCAGAAGCTTGTGGGTTAAAACCCCACATTGGGACTTTGAACTTACATACGCTCACTGATGCTCCAGTGCAGTGGTGTTGGGCTGCATTGCCAGAAGTGCCTTACTGTGGATGAGACATGAAACAGAGGTTTCACCTGCCTGTTCAAGTGGACATTAAAGATCCCATGGCACTATTCAAAAAGAGAAGAGAGTTTCTCCCGGTGTCCTGCCCAGCAGTCCCCCAGATAGAATTGGCTGCCACATTTGCCCACAAAACCACAGTCACGACACAGCACAGTAAAATCCTGTGAAGTGATTTGAGATGTCTCAATGGCATGATAAGGCGCTATATCAAATGCAAGGATCATGTGTCTAAAGGTGCTTTTACTCATAATTATGCCTTTTTCTTGCTGTCAGGCGCTAAGCATTGGAAGCGAGGCTGTTCTAATTAATAGAATCCATTCATGTGCGGTGTTGGCTCACGTTAACATATTGTCAAGTTAAAGCTGACATCTGCAAGGGGACCTTTTATATTAAAAAAATCACAACGGCGGAGAGAAATCTGGATAGAAGCTCTCAGGTTCGAACAGCACAATGGGAATTATCGAACCAACGTAGCAAAGGGATTTTTTTCTCGGAGAGGGAGAAGTTCCGAAACTTTCTAATTCAGAAACTTTCTAATTTTCCGCTGAACAGATAGTTGCTGCCATTATGGCAATTACTGGCATTGTTATGATGGCCTATGCAGATGGTTTCCATGGTGATTCAATCATCGGTGTAGCCCTGGCTGTTGGATCGGCCTCCACATCAGCATTATACAAGGTATGTGAATAAACGCAACATTTCTGTAGAACCCGGTTAAGAAATACTCCTTTACTCCCTGCCTCAATCCTTCTGCCTCCCCCCCACCCCCTTTATGTATCTCCAATCAGGTTTCCGTGGTGCCCGCTGTAAGGAAACAGCCCTGGTCAAAGGTGACAAATGACAATCTGTCCATCTCAGTGACGTGTCTGAATTCATGGTTGTGGTTAAGCAGGTCTGTACAAGCTCCTGGCACTGGGCAGGACATGGTGTTTTGATGGTCCCATTGTCACCACAGTGGTAAATCTGTGATCACCAGCAGCCTTACTGGTCTAAGAAAAGGAGCAGCAACAGGACAATAGGGAAATGCCATTTTTTTAGGTCAGCCGGGTGTCTGACACATGCGGGACCCCAATACCATGCTTAGGGGTATCGAACCTCAAACTGAGAATTCCATGGCGAAAGGTCATTGAAATGAAACGTTAACTTATTTTACTCTCCATGGATGCTGCCTGACCTGCTGTGTTTATACCAGATTTCCGGCATCTGCAGTACTTTGCCTTTTGAGAATTCCACGCATCCCACCTACAAGTAGAAATTCCACAGATAGATTGTTGGAATGGAATACGCACTCTCTCCCTGGAGGGATGCATCCTGCTTGCCTTAATTCTGGAAAGTATTAGGCACAGTTTGGCAAGGGCCAAGGCTCGGGGAACCCAGGGTGTGTGTTGCGGTACTACTGGGATCTAACCAGCTAAATGCCAAGCAAAGGAGAGAGAAACAATGCACCGATCGCCAAGTGAATTTGCCAACTTCAATGATGTCACCCTGCGAATGAGAGAAAAGCCACTCTAAGCTCAAACCTCCCTCCCCGGTCAGTAAATGTACTGAGTAGCGGTAAAACAGCTGATAATCCGAAGGTCAGTAAATCTACTGGTGATGAGAGAATTACCACTGAAGGGACAATGAGACATGAACATGTGATGTTGGAACCCCTTACTAAGTGCTTAGCCTTAGTCCCAAGGTCTCCTATCAGTTGCACTGGGGGATTTCAGACATGTCATTTAAACTTCAGTGACAATGGGAGCTTTACAGAGCTTAATGTAGCTCTCAGCATCGTCAGCCCATGTTCTGAAGTTAAGCTGCTAATAAACCTCCTGTGAGGCTGGAACTGTTGGAACGCAACACGGCACATTTTGTCGTTCGGAGAGTTCCCTTACGGGACTCTTGCTTGGCTTTGCTCTATTTTTGCTTGATTTGATGGGCTTGAGGGGAAACACGTGTAAGCTGTCTTCTGTAAATGTGTTCTCAATGTCTCATTGGCTGGGCGCCATCAGCTGAGAAGCTCAGTCAATCCCCGATAAAGTAGAGGCGGGGGATACATTTTCAGACATGAAACATTGTCTAAAAAAAGCGTAACATTTCAAGAACTTGGTTTACTGAATGGTTTGAAATTTGGACGAGGAGAGACAAAAACACACAAAGTATCTGTAATTAAAGTAGAGCAAATAATAATAATAATCCTTGCATTTGATATAACGCCTTATCATGTCGTCGAGATGTCTCAAAGGGCTTCACAGGATATACTGCAAAGTGGATTGACTGTATAGTTTGTGAAATACAAAAACAACATGATACGTAAGGCACTATATCAAAATATCGGAGTCCTGTAACTCAGTGGTTAGAGCACTCGCTTTGCAAGCGAGAGACCTAAGTTCATTTCCAGGAGGGCGAAACTTTGGGCAAGTTTCCTTACTCCACACGCTTAATAATAATCCCTCCAAAACCAAAAACAATAATAAATTGGTCATTTTCAATCTACGACTGTTTGTGGGACATTGCTGTGCGTAATTGGCTGCCGCGTCCGCCCACAAATATACAGTCAATTCACTTTACAGTGTGTTCTGTGAAGCACTTTGGGACGTCCTCCCTACGTGAAAAGCGCTATATCAAATGCAAGGAGTATTATTATTATTATAAAATGTAAGAATTATTATAATATTTTATTAATAATCATGAAAAGCCAGCTTGCTTCAGTAGCAGCTGCTGATTGATTGCTTCAGTGAATGTATTTGCTCGTAACATGTTGTATGTCATAAATCTCTTCCAGGTCTTATTTAAGATGTTTCTTGGGAGTGCAAATTTTGGGGAAGCCGCTCATTTCCTTTCCACGATGGGCTTCTTCAATTTAATTTTTATATCATCCGCTCCAGTTATATTATACTTTACCAAAGTGGAATATTGGTCTTCATTCTCTGCTTTGCCCTGGGGTTACCTCTGCGGTGTGGCCAGCCTTTGGTTAGGTATGTATTGTGTGTGTGATAATGTACTGTATTTTCCACCCCCATTACATTTCATAAAATAATTCTATATTCTTAAGTAATATATCTTTCATGAAGTTTTTATTTTTATTTAACTGTGGCTAATTCCCAACTGTTTTCAGCCCTGCTTAAGGTAAAAGCAGTCTGATGGCATCTCTATTTCCCTTTCACCTCTACCTTTAACTGCGGATAAAATAATAAGCCCTACGATTGAGATTGAATATCTGCTCTGTGGGTTTTATCTTCTCGAATCTGAAGTTTAGCAAGGAACTAACATTTAATCCCTGAGCAAAGCAATGATGAGCAATGATCAGAGAAACCAAGACTCTTCAGACTTGAAAGAAGACATCTCAGTGAGGGCTTTATAAATTATAAATGGAATTGAAAAGTAAACCCAGAACAATACTTTCGAATGCACCAAGACAGTAGAACAGGAGGACATGGGTTTAGAGTTGCAAAGGATAATTTCAGGACAAACACCAGGATGTTTTTCTTCACTCAGAGGGTAATTAATGACTGGAACAGATTACCATGGTTGAGGCTAGGTCACTGGACTCATTTAAAAAAACCAGCTGGATGCTGTGATGGTAGTCTGGTAGTGTGGGTGTTCTGGAAGGATGAGATCAGATGGGCCAAAGGGTCTTCTTCATCTGAACCTATCTGGTAACAGGTTAGAACAACAATTAGTTTAGGAAAGTGTCTGGATTGCTGACATTGAGCTCTGTGCGAGAAGCACTAGCATTGTTCTCAGTCGCAAATATTGACGCCGACCCTCAGCACTCAAACCAAAACAATTTTTTGCGCCTAGACACATACCCAGCCGATGTTTGTCCCTATTTACACCTGGAAAAGCGGAGCTTGGATCACGATTGCTAGGACCTAAAGCCTGCCTCACCAACCAGCCACTCCAACAAGTGATTGCAAAATGTCTTCAGGCTGTACAATCATACAAGAATTTCTGTTAGAGTGCTAAAGGGCAGCGAGCTTTTTAAACACAGATCTGAACTGCTTGTTTCTCTTCCTCTGTTTGTGCAGCCTTCAACATCCTTGTGAATGTCGGGGTTGTGATCACATATCCGATTCTCATCTCCATTGGAACCCTGCTGAGTGTCCCTGGAAACGCAGGTGGCTATTTGTTTCTTTGTCCACATTGTTCGGACATTGGCCCCAGAGGTGAAGGGTTCCACGCGTTGACCCACCGCTCCGCCCAAGTCATTTCAATAATAATAATAATCCTGGCATTTGCTGAAGTGCCTTTTGCACAGGGAGAATGTCCCAAAGCCCTTCACAGGATATACTTTAAAGTGCAGTGACCGCAGCTAATTTATGCTTAAGAGAATCCAGCTAGACTAAGAGTTCTACATAGGTATTCAACCTACACATAGGAGATATCCCTGGGTCTGGATTGGAATGAGCACTCTCTCCCTGCAGAGACGCTTTCTGATTCCTGAAACTACAGGTGGCAAGAGCCAAGCCTTCGGGGATTCCCAGAGTTTGTGAGTGGAGGGTTCTTCTGGGGTTTGACCAGCTGGAACATCTTGCGATAATTGTAGAGTAAAATTATAACTCTGAGCCAATTACCTTTGCTCACACAGCTGTCGACCTTCTGAAACATGAGATGATATTCAGTGTGGTGAGGCTGGCCGCCACCACCATCATATGCATTGGCTTCCTGCTCATGCTCCTTCCTGAGGAATGGGATGAAATAACCTTGAGGTTCATCAATAGCTTGAAAGAAAAGAAGAGTGAGGACCAAAGCGAAGACACCACAGAGTCCAGCAACCACACGCGGAGCAGGAGCAGAGCAAATGGGACTGTGTCTATCCCGTTAGCTTAATCGCCAGCTAGTTTTACAAATGCACGGGAATGTATATTCTGTGAATATGATTTAGTTTTGTGAGACAAAGTATGCTTTTTATGACAGTATTACCAGAAACGTACTGCATACAATATGAATATATTTCAGTTAATGCACTAAAAAAAATTATAGTATTGCGATTTAAACTTTATAAAGCAACATGGGAATGGGTGTTAATGTGTAATAAAGTTTTTGTAAAGAAAGTACTTGCGCCAGTTGTTTTTTTATTAGTTAACAACAGAAGATTTTGTTGTATGATCAAACAGAATCATTGCACTTTTTGTTGGACTTGCTTGTTGGTCCCAGTCTGTAATGTATAATAATAATCATAATAATATAATAATGATCATCCTTGCATTCGGTATACCACCTTTCACGTCAGGAGGACGAGTCAAAGTGCTTCACAGGATACACTGTAAAGTGGAGTGACTGTGTTTTTCGTAGGTGAAACGTGGCAGCCAAATTTGCACATAGCAATTTCCCACAAGCAACTATCGAGTGATAGACCACTTTTATCTGAAGGATTGTTGGACAGGTTATCCTGAAAAACTCACTCCAGTCAAAGTGAGCTGATCGTTTTTTTTTGCTGTTGCTCATGTTACTGCTGTTAATGTTACTGTTAATAACAACGTTGTTAATGTTCGGCTTCCCACTGCTTTTACATCTAATCATACTTTATATTAAAAGGTAAAACTTTGACTGTGTCAATGATCATCTCCTCCTCCCCCTTCTGCCTCTCTCTCGTCCAACCCTGACACTGTAGAGAGCTCCAAGACGTTCTCTGAGGTGAAGAGTGCTATCACAAATGCAAGTTGCTGATTTATCATAGAAAATGATAAAACCTGCAACTTTGAGAGGGAGCTGCTTTCTCATGTGAAGTGCTTCGAGATGCCCTCCCCATGTGAAAGGGGCTTCATCAAATGCAAGGATTATTATTTGTCATTTGTGACAGACAGCAAGCTCCCTGCACCTGTGTTTTTTTCTTTTTCTTCCTGCAAACCTTTAGTTTTTGACAAAAGAAAAGCATTGATCAGCATCCTTGGCCTTTTTCCCAGGTGCAATAAATAGGCTTTGGTGATCCTATTTTGCGAGTGAGCTACATTACCATACTCTTTGATGGCAGCACATCTGGGGTAAATGGCACATTATAAATTATTCTCGGGCTCTTGCGTTTCTCACTAAACATCACTCAAGACTGCCAGCGTGCAGGAAAATATTAAATCAGTTCTCAATGTTGATATCAAATTGGTTGAAAATCATTATTGCTCAGCGGCTGGGCCTTTGCAAGTGTAATGAGCTGCTGTAATCCTGTCACTGAACTCTGCACTTTACTTCAGTACAATAATGGGTTATTGTCATGGCGAAACAAGCAAATAAATAACATTAAAATACAGCACGAGTCATATGCAGGCAACAAACCCACAATTTTGACTGCAGCAAGTTACTTTTATTTAAGCCATGTTATCCTACATATTACTTGCTTATACTGTATATATAAATCCTTGCATTTCATGATGCCTTATCATGTTGGAGAAATGTCGCAAAGCATTTCACAGAAATTAGTGTAAAGTGTCATGACTGTGCATTTTGTGGGCAAACTCAGCAACCAATTTGCATACAATAATGTTCCACGTACAGCCATGAATTGAGTGACCAATCTTATTTTGGGGAACACTCTCTTCTCTTTTCAATCAGTGCTTCAGGATCTCTGTCATCTGCTGCGATCACCTTGGAGCCAGTTCAGCTTAGCCACCAGCCACCAACCCCCCTACCCCACCCACCCCCGAGGAGGATGACTTTTGAGACTAATGCAATGCAAAAGATATGAGAACAGTTTAATGGTTTGTGAATGTCACAACAACACCAACAACTTGCATTTATACAGCGCCCTTCGCAGAGAATAGTGTCTCGGAGCGCTGCACCGTGGTGGGATTGGACTAAGCGAGGGATAAGGGTAGAAGGGGAGGTGACCTTAGGCAAGATTGTAGAGGTAAGTCTTTGGTCACTCAATCCACTACTTTTTGTGGGCCAATGCTGCGCGTAATTAGCTGCCGCGTTTCACCAACAAAAAAAACAAGTCAATCCACTTTACGATATATTCTGTGAAGCGCTTTGACACATCTCAACGACGCGATAACCATTATATTGAATGCCAGGATTATTATTATTATTATTATTGTGAATATCTGTGAAATTGACCAAGGTCAATTTCCTGGATTGTCCCCAGATTCTGCAGAGTGAAAATGGACAGAGCTTGGAGGTTAAAAGGCAGGGGAAGCCGATGTGAGATTCTATGATAAACTCAGGTGTCGGCCTGGTTCAGTTGCTAGCACTCTTGCCTCTCACACAGGCCAGGCTGACACTCCCAACGCCGTGCTGGGGGAGCACTGTATTGTCGGAGGTGCCGTCCTCCGGATAAACTGATGTTCTTCCCTGGTTACATAATTTCAGAGAGTATTCGGTGTGGGTTGGCAAGAGCCAACGATTGCATTAACACGCTCTGGACGACACCGAACCCACGTTCCCAAAAACCTGCCGCCTGTGTCGGTCTGTCCTACTATCCGGACACAGGGGATTTCCGTGTGAGGCTGGCACACGCATGTGGAGTGAGAAAATGGATCAATTCAAGATCCTCACGCTCGTCTTCAAATCCCTTCAAGCCCCGGCATCTCCCTACCTCTCCAACCTGCTTACTCCCCAACCCGCTACCTACTGCCTCCGCTTGACTGACTGGCTCCGGCCTCCCAACATGTCCCTCGTGCCCTCAGGTCCACCCTGGGTGGCCGGGCTTCTCGCCATGACGCCTGACGCTCTGGCGCACTCTTCCTCTATCCCTCCGCCTCGCCCTTTCGTTCCCCATCTCCAGGCCATCCTGAAGACCTTCCTCTTCGACCGTGCCTATGGCCGCCCTCCCCTCTATCCCCCGCCCGCCCGCCGCCCGCCCGCCCCGGCTCGGGGTCGTGCTCAGCCACTGTCGAGCGCTGTGGGACCCCCACCTCGGGTGAGGGGCGATATATAAATGCAAAGTGCTGATAGCAACGTGGCGTTTCCCTAGAAACAGGGGACACTGAGAGAGAGAGAGAGAGAGAGAGAGAGTGTGAGAGGGGAGAGGGAGAGGAAGGAGAAGGGGAGGGAGAGGTCCTCGCCGATCATTGCAAGTCAAACCCCCCCCTGGGGTGGGGGTGGGGGTGTGGGGAGGGGCTGTGTGGGGGGTGTGGGGGGTGGGGGAGGGTGTGAGGAGGGGGGGTCAAGATGCAAAAAAGGACGGGATCACCGGGAGGAATAAAAGTCGGGATGGTTTAACACAGCGGGTCCAGCGCGGGCTCCCGGGAACATGGGTTCGGGGTCGTCCAGAGCGGGTCCCAAGGTGATCCCGGTGATCCCGGCGGGGAGTGGGAGCGGGAGTGGCAGTGGGAGCGGCAGTGGCAGTGGGAGCGGGAGCGGCAGTGGCAGTGGGAGCGGCAGTGGCAGTGGGAGCGGCAGTGGTGACAGCGGACTCGGCTCCTCGCAGTCGCTGTTCCCGGCACAGCAGCGGAGGGGTTGGAGCGGCGCTCAGACAACTTTGCTCTGCGGGAGAACCGACCTCCCGCCCCTCAGGGAGTCCCTGTACCTGAGCTGTGCAGAGGGTAAGTCCAGCCCTGCGCTACTGTACCTGCCCTGTGCTGCCCTGCACCTGCCCTGCCCTGTACCTGCCCTGTGTACCTGCCCTGCCCTGTACCTGCCCTGTGCTGCCCTGCACCTGCCCTGTGCTGCCCTGTGCTGCCCTGTGCTGCCCTGTGCTGCCCTGTACCTGCCCTGTGCTGCCCTGCACCTGCCCTGTGCTGCCCTGTACCTGCCCTGTGCTGCCCTGTACCTGCCCTGTGCTGCCCTGTACCTGCCCTGCGCTACTGTACCTGCCCTGTGCTGCCCGGTACCTGCCCTGTGCTGCCCTGTACCTGCTCTGCCCTGTACCTGCCCTGCGCTACTGTACCTGCCCTGTGCTGCCCTGTACCTGCCCTGCGCTCCTGTACCTGCCCTGTGCTGCCCTGTACCTGCCCTGTGCTGCCCTGTACCTGCCCTGTGCTGCCCTGTGCTGCCCTATACCTGCCCTGTGCTGCCCTGTACCTGCCCTGTGCTGCCCTGTACCTGCTCTGCCCTGTGCTGCCCTGTACCTGCTCTGCCCTGTGCTGCCCTGTACCTGCCCTGTACCTGCCCTGTGCTGCCCTGTACCTGCCCTGTGCTGCCCTGTACCTGCCCTGTGCTGCCCTGTACCTGCCCTGTGCTGCCCTGCACCTGCCCTGTGCTGCCCTGCACCTGCCCTGTGCTGCCCTGTGCTGCCCTGCCCTGTGCTGCCCTGCCCTGTACCTGCCCTGTACCTGCCCTGTGCTGCCCTGTACCTGCCCTGTGCCTGCCCTGTGCTGCCCTGTACCTGCCCTGTGCTGCCCTGCCCTGTACCTGCCCTGTACCTGCCCTGTGCTGCCCTGTACCTGCTCTGCCCTGTGCTGCCCTGTACCTGCCCTGTGCTGCCCTGTACCTGCCCTGTGCTGCCCTGTACCTGCCCTGTACCTGCCCTGCCCTGTGCTGCCCTGTACCCGCCCTTCCCTGCCCTGTACCTGCCCTGTACCTGCCCTGCCCTGTATCTGCCCTGCCCTGTACCTGCCCTGTACCTGCCCTGTACCTGCTCTGCCCTGTACCTGCCCTGTGCTGCCCTGTACCTGCTCTGCCCTGTGCTGCCCTGTACCTGCCCTGTACCTGCTCTGCCCTGTATCTAACCTGTACCTGCTCTGCTCTGTACCTGCCCTGCCCTGTACCTGCCCTGTGCTGCCCTGTCCCTGCCCCTGCCCTGCCCTGTGCTGTACCTGCCCTGCCCTGTACCTGCCCTGCGCTGTACCTGCCCCGCGCTGTACCTGCCCTGCCCTGTACCTGCGCTGTACCTGCCCTGCGCTGCCCTGCCCTGTACCTGCCCTGTACCTGCCCTGTGCTGTACCTGCCCTGTACCTGCCCTGTGCTGCCCTGCCCTGTACCTGCCCTGTACCTGCCCTGTGCTGTACCTGCCCTGTACCTGCCCTGTACCTGCCCTGTGCTGTACCTGCCCTGTACCTGCCCTGTACCTGCCCTGCGCTGTACCTGCCCTGCCCTGTACCTGCGCTGTACCTGCCCTGTACCTGCCCTGCGCTGTACCTGTAGCTCCCTCGCTTCACTCAAACGTCCATCTCAAGACCTATCCCTTAGACCTCGCTCCCAGCCAAGGGCTGTGAAGCCCACCGAGACGTCTTGCTTTCCGTGTTAGACGCCGCACCAATGTAAATGTGTGCTGTGTGTGTAGTGACCATGTATTTTCTAGTTCACAGTCAGTCTTTACTGGAGAGTTACTCGTTCGAGCAACAAGTGGTGCTTTGCTTTGCATCCAGTTATAGCTTTCATGCTTCCTTGACTTCAGTTTTATTTTCCCAATGCAGGGAATAAGCCCCCTCCTCCCACCCACCCCCCACTGCATTCCGAGAATCTGTTAATGTTTGCTTGGGATAATTTTTTTGGTGTTAATTATTACCGGGGTTTACAAGTTTGTTTTCCCTCTCTCCCAATGCGCCAAGCTTATTAATGTTTGACAGGAGCTTTACACTCAGTTATCTCTCCTCATGGATCTAGTCCCCAGGGCCATTTCATTTGATGTGACACTGGACAATGAGGAAGCGAGCATTATAAAGAGACACCCCCCTCGAAGGCTGCAGGTAAGAGATCCTACCAACTCTGGTATCTAATATCTGTCCAGTGTATCATCTCCAATTTCACCTCATGCTGGATTGAATTTAAACCTGATTGTATCATCAACGATAACTTGCATCTATAAAGTCTGGGAGAGCTTCACAGTGACAGGGTTGGACCCTGGAGCAATACAACTCAATCATGAAATGGTACAACACCAAAATAGGGCATTGTCCCACCAAGTGTTTTTCAGAGGGCTGTTGATGGTAGGCTGGGTCCAAGAGGAAAGTCATCAGCTGTGATTTGAAAAGGTCAAAGAGGGTGCAAAGTGGAGGGATTGAGGCAGGGAGTTCCAGAGGTTTGGGGCTTAGTGGCTGAAGGGATGGCCACCGAGCAGTGGGGTTGGGGGGATATGGAGAAGGTCAAAACTGGTTGAGCGAAGGGAACGGGAGGAGGAGGGGGGTGTGAGCGCCTCTTCGTGGAGCTTTTCTTTCCAATAAAAACTAAATCCACAAATCTACAAAAATCAATTGACCATCGATGTCAGGAGAGTTTAAGGGTATAACTGGCTCCTTGGAAAAAGTTTGCTCTAATTTCTAATAAAATTCTCTTATACTACCCTGTAGTTAAATGCATTCCAACAATATAAACACAGGTAATGCATAACATAATCCTTGTGTTTGATATTAGGGCCTTATCACATCATTAAGACGTCTCAAAGCGCTTCATAGGATTTTACTGTGTATTTTGTAGGGGAGCCTGGCAGTCAATTTGTGCATAGTATTGCGCTCACAAACAGCTGTGAAGTGAGTGACTCAATTTTATTTGGTAAGAGATTCTATTCTTATGGGATACCGTGTATAGTTTGGGACATGACATGTGCGTGCGACTGCCCAGATGGTGTAAGGCGAACGGGATGGATCTCTGTCTTCTTTCACCTCACAAATCCTTATGTTCCTATGTTCTTACAAGCATCAACTGGCTTATTCTGTGTTTTAGAGACTGGAGGCTTTGAAGCCTGTTGCGGTCAACACCACTGTGAGGCCACTGGAGAAGCAGCGAGCAGCGAATGCACGGAAAGCACAGGTGTGGCCCTGGACAAAACTATCAAATACAGTAAAACTTGCCCAAGTCTTATCTTTATAAATCATATGATCACCTAAGTCGTACATCCATCTGAATCCCATTCAGTTTCCTATCAAAACCGCTTAGATTTCTTTGCACTACTCATATTAATCATCATCTTACTTGTAACACCGTTCTCTATCCTAACAGTGGAGGACAGTTAGGAGGTATGTTCTTGTGGTTGCCTTTAGCTTGACAGCCTTAATACACAAGCTTTGCTTTCTCTTTAAAGACACTTGCAAGACAAATGGAAACAGCAAAACAGTTTTCCAGGAGAAGGCATCAAATGCACCAGATTCAACATCATGAGAAGAAACAGAGGAAACAAGAGGTTATTCCGTCCTTTTGTTAAGCATCAGCTTTTAACGGTTTCAGAAATCTGACACAGATGCAATGGGCAGTGCGACCTCTTTCTGTGCGGAGAAATTCTAGGATTCTGATTTGGTTTCATTTAAAGAACCACGAAAAACTGCTTCCAAATTAAGACAATTAAAAAAAAATTCTACCATTCTGCACAGTGTTGAAATTAACACAGTGGTCTTTTTAGCTAAGGCTATGTGGAATTTCAGACCTGTGGTGTCTCCCCAGCAAATGTATTATCAATACTTGTGTCTAGGGAAACAGTCAGCTCCAATTCCATTTTGTACGGAATTTCCCATTTACAGAGAGGGTATAACAACTTGCCCTTATATTTTTTTTGATTAGCTGGGTGTCTGACACATACAGAAACTATGCTTAAAGAGTATCCAAATCAGCCTGAGAGTTTCACATATGTCTACCATCTACACATTGGAAATCTCCCTGCATCTCACAAGGTTGGTCTGGATGGAGAAGGCCCTTAGGCTCATCTGTTCTCATCCCTCATGACACCCACCCTACAGTCCTCCCATCACAGCATCAAAAGGCTTTCCAAATGAGTCCCAGGGGTAGATCTAGAGTTGAAGGATGGAGGATCGGGGGTGGGTCAAGGTCAGGATTCAGCTGATCAGCTCCACCCCTCCACCAGAGTGTTAGTCAGTCATTTGGGTAGGGGTGGAGGGGGAGGCTGTGGGTGATGTCTGCCCTTTGATTGGCAAACCCTGACTGTCAGTCCAGTGAAAATGTCCAGGTGAATGAGTCAGTTTGGGCTGACAAATTGCTGGGCTCCCATGAACCACCCTCGCTGATGAGTCCAATATCCTGGCAGCCTGTTCCAGTTGTTGATCACCCTCTGCGTAAAGAACAAACCTCCTGGTGTCTGGAATGGAATGTGCTCTCTCTCCCTGGAGGGTCGCACGTTGCTTACCTATTTCCACGGACACAGGTTATAAAAACATCAAAGTGCTTTTAAATACACGGATTAGGAGCTCAAGCAGGCTGCAGGGTGGGAGATTTGGTGGGGTGAGCTAGGCAGCTCGGTCAAAAGAGAGATTTTTAGATGGGGTTGGAAAGTAGAGAGGCAGGCAGGCAAAGGGAGTTAGGGGCAAGACTTCCAGAGAGTGGGAGACAAAGCAGCTGAAAGCTCACCCACCAATGGTGGGGTGGAGAGGTGGGGGATATGAAGCAGGCGTGAGTCGCAGAGGCTAGTTTCCTTATAAATAGCATTGCTCACAGTCAGGTTCATGTCTTGGCACAGGCAATTGGCTTTGAGGAACAACTGGAACTGAGGCACAATCTTCCCCCGCATGTGAGAATCAGCAAGCCCATAAGACATGATCTCGGGGCCAGAGACTGTGAAGAAAATACTCAAAACATAAACCACCAAGAAGATCAATATTATATAGGAGTAGAACATGATGAAACATTCAATGTGGATTATGGTAAGTAACCTTTCTCGTGGGAGGCATCTCAAAGGTGTTGGGTGGTCCGCATGGGTGTCACAGAGGGGGTTTGGTGCCTATCTTTCCCTTAGAAGATATAAACCCTTATTACCGGTTAGTCAGGTTCTCTGCCCAGGTTATTGCTTGCTGTTGACCAGTTTGGAACATTTATTTAATAATATTATTAATAATAATGTTGGGAAGGTGTCTCACAGGACATAACATAAAGTTCAGTAACTGTGTATTTTGTAGGTAACATCCTGAATATTCCATCTGTATGTTATTTGCTGGGCTCAGTTGGTAGCACTCTCACCCCTGAGTCGGAAGGTTGTGGGTTCAAGCCCAGGTCAAGAATTGGAACCCATATAATCTCTGCTGACACTCCAGTGAGGTGCTGATGGAGGGTGTAGGGGGTGGGGGTGGGGGGGCTGCGCTGCCTTGTCGGAAATGCTGTCCTTCGGATGAGATATTAAAACAAGGCCAGTCTGCCTACACAGGGAGACGTTAAAGAGCCCATTGGCTCCCAATATCCTGGCCAACAATCCCCAAATAAAATTGGTCAGTTATGCAATGCCTGTTTGTGGGACACTCTGCTGTGCACAAATTGGCTGCTGTGTCGGCCCGTAAATTGCACGCAGTCACACCACTTTACAGATGTATCCTCTGAAGCACTTTGAGACGTTCTGGTGATATGATTGGTAATGGAACTATATCGAATGGTAGGATTATTATTATTATTATTATTAGTCTAATTTGTCTAGCTTGTCCGCAAGGATAAACAGAGGATCAAACTTCACATTTTTATTCCCAGACAATCTGTGGCCCAGCTTGACCTCGTCGATGTACCTCACAAGTGGGCGCAGGGGACCTCCAGAACGTCTTGTGCAGCTAAGGCACCAGCGAGGCACTCATAGTCAGAGTTCCAGCAGCGACTCCTGTGGGGAGGGGACCAACCAGGCACAGCGTAGGCTGCTGAGAACTAAGGTTGAGAAGATCCCGATGTTTGATGAGTTCTTCGATCAGGAGTTATAGCCAGTGAAAAGTTGGGAGGAAACAACAACTTGCCTTTGTATCGTGCCCTTCACGTAGGGTAGAGTCCCTGAGCGCTTAAGTAAAGAACATTAACAAAGAAGCTGAATTAGTGGAGACAAGCGAGACATTGGCTACTGTTCCCAGGCATCAACTTGGAGCATAAATGTTCAAGCTGATAGAACCGATACAGAATCATAGGAATTACAGCGCTATAACTCATTCAGCCCATCTGGCGCCCCAGCTCCTTCATTGAGGTTAACTACTCTGCTTTTCTCCCTACTCCCTGATACAGCGTGTTAAAAAACAAAAACAGGGAGAGCTGGGAAAACCGAGCAGGTCAGGCAGCATCTATGGAGAAAGGCGAGCGAGTCAACGTTTCGGGTCCACGACCCTTCGCCAGAACGCTGGACCCGAAACGTTGACTCACTTTCCTTTCTCCGCAGATGCTGCCTGACCCGCTGAGTTTTCCCGGCTCTCTCTGTTTTTGTTACAGATTTCCAGCGTCTGCAGTATTTTGTGTTTTGTTGCAGTGTATTAATAACACTGGATTTTATGGTTTCTCTATGGCGCGGCCCGGTGGACACTTGGGTGCATTACAAAGAGAAAAGCTGAAAGTATTTTAGCTCCTACACAATCATAGAAACTAAAGTACAAGAGGCCATTTGGCTGACAAAGTCTATGCTGTTGGCAGCTCCTTTTTCTTTCTCCCAAATGTTATATGGATATTAGTAAGACTGGATTTGTGTTCTAACTGTCACAACGTAAACTTAAGTGCGCATTCTGACCTTTATACCTATATTAAAGTAAAGGGGCAGATTCCACTGCTCCTCTTGTAAAAGCTGAAGTAAGTGAATACTGGCAGTCCAGTAAATAACTGAGCAAAATTAATTCATTCAGTGAAACAAACAGAAACTGTATGTGGAACAATCGGGTGTTTGATGTCACTAAATTAATGACATCAAAAAACTTCCAGACATTAATCTAATAACCCATAGAATGTCATTTTCCTCTACATACTGAGGAAAGCTATTCCTTTTCAGTCATCGAAATATTCCTCAAAAACTGCACCACATTTTCTTTTGGTCACTTGACCACGAGGAACCCTATCACCATGCTTAACAGTGTCCAAATGAGACAGAGTTCCAAGCATGCCACCTAAACATGGCCATTCCCATGTTTGGAATGGAATGCGCACACTCCCTCCCCAGAGGGACGCTCCCTGCTTACCTAATTCCACAGAGCGTTAGGCACAGGTTGGCAAAAGCCAAGGTCAAGCCCACACTGTGGCAATGAACAGAGTGTCTGATTTAAAACTTGTACATTTTTAATTATATTTACACACAGTCACTGCACTACTTTAAGTCCTGTGAAGTGCTTTGAATTGTCCTCCTGGCGTGAAAGGGACCAAATCAAATTCAAGGATTATTAATTTTATTTACCCTTTTATATTTCTGCATTTCAGATATTTAACTAATCACTTCTTAAAAGTCAATATATTTTGATATAGAATATCCACCAGAGTTTAGAAATGGTATATTTACAATCACATTTCTAAATTTGAAGGTAAACTTGTTCACTCTTTTCAAAGCGTCTAAGATCTAATAAGTCTTCTAGGAGAGAATACACCACAAAACTTGTTACGTTCCTGTTCATTAACAAACTCCCTATATTCAGTGTTATCAGAGAAATGGCAAACCTATATCTTAGCACCTCCCTCCCTCTGCGATCTCCACTAACCAAGTCTGCTGCTTGCTCCTCTGCAAGGCAAACTCGAGCTTGCTGTACAGAGTCCCACTGTTTTCCACAAAAAGCCATCAAAGGAATGACCAATTTTATCTGGAGGATCAACATAGAATTCATATAACAGGATAATTCATTCATTCGTTCAATAATAAATAATAATCCTTGCATTTGATAGCGACTTATCACGTCTTTGAGATGTCTCAAAGTGCTTCACAGAATATACTATAAAGTGAATTGACTCTATATTTTGTGGGGAAATGACGCTTCTAAATTGCCTGACTGTTTGAGCAAAACCACAACAACAAACAACCACAACAACAAATGAACAACATCCGTAACAAACACAACATGTATTTATAAAGCGGGCTTCACATAGGGCAATGTCTTGGAGAAGCTCGCATTGTAGCTGCATCAAAAAGGACAGATCTTGCATCAAGCGACATTCAGACATTTACAAATTAACGTCGGATCCAATCAGCCTTCAGTATCAATACTCCCAGGTTTCTAAGATGATTAGATAATAATACAATAATAATCCTCACATTTGATATAGCGCCTTATGTGGTTGGCACGTCTCAAAACGCTTCACAGAGTGTATTGTAAAGTGAATCGACTACATTTTGTGGGCAAAATGCGGCAGCTAATAGTGCATAGTGTCCCACAAACGGTCATGGATTGAGTGACCAAATTATTTTTTTTTTTAAAAAGGTATTATCCTTCAGATATTCCAGAACAAAGCAAAGAGGGTGCAGTTTAGGATTTGCAAAGCTCTTGTTCAGTTTGGGTAAAGTTGTCCCTCCAATTCAGGGAGTTGGGTGGTTAAATGACACAGCCTGAATTCCTTAACTTGTTTTGCTAGTTATACACATCCTTTAACAGCTTTCTACCCTCACTCCCCCGCGCTCTGCCCAATCAACCTGAAGTTGCCCGTCTCTGTGGAATTAAACAAAACTTGGAAGAGCTTAATCAGCCTTTTATTATGCCTCAGGCATTGCATACCTGACTTCGTGATGGGGTGGAGGAACAGATTATCATGCAGAGTTCAAATCACTAACTTGCTTAACTCCAAAGTTAGTTTTTTAATGTCACATAGGTAATAAAGTCAGAATAACCCACTGTGCCTGGCTATGGTCCATTCAGAGCAACTGTTTTGTTACAATTTTGTAAATGACGGCATGGGGAATGTGCGATATTTCATAATAGATTTGATGGGATAAATATGCTGAAATTGATATAAATATGCGCTTTGAGACGTCTCGAAGATGTGATAAGGCGCTATATCAAATGCAAGGATTATCACTATTATAATAATCCTTGCATTTGATGTAACACCTTTCACATTGTCGAGATGTCTCAAAGTTCACAGGATTTACTATAAAGTGGTGTGTCTGTGTGTATATTGTGGGTAGATTTGGCAATTTGCCCAAAGCCATGTCCCACAAACAGCCATGGAGTGAGTGACCAACTATATTTGAAGGATTGTTAGTCAGGACACTGGGAGAAACTCCCTCTTTTCAAATAGTGCCTTGGGATCTTTAACATGCACTCGGACAGGCAGACGGGACCTCAGTTTAACGCGTCAACCAAAGAACGGCACCTCCGACAATGCAACACCCCCCGACCCCCAACACTGCATCAGGAATGTCAATATAGACTATATGGGTTCCAAATCCCTACATGGGACTTGAAGCCACAACCTTTTGACTCAAGAGACGAGAAAAGTCACAAATTCCTCTCAGGATGGTATTCCAGATCGAGAATATAGCGCATCGGATCGAAATATCTGAAATTTGGTTTAAAATAAACAGGAACTGGGTCCACGGGAGGCAAGCAGGCTACTGTGGTCGGGTTACCAGGCGTAACTTAGGCAGCTCGACATGCTTTCCACTCTAGTAATCGGACACACTCTGATATTAGTGCAGCTGTTGCCTATCAGTAAAGGATAATTAAAACTCTGGTGCAAACAACATACCCACTTGTACAAGAATGCTGGGCTAAGGTTATGTTTTGAGTGAAATTTACAAGATGTAATCTGCCCCTATCATGGCCAATCACATATTTACAATTTGACACTTCTTCACACCCGCAGTTCTCTTTGCTTATCTTGCTACAATTGTGGCCAATAATTCGCCAGATAAAATTGGTCCTTTACTTCATGGCTTTTTGTCGGACATCACTCGGTGCTAATTCGTTGCCTACAAATACACAGTAAATACACAAATACAGTAAAGTCTTGTGAAGTACTTTGAGACATCTCAACGTGGTAAGGTGCTATGCAATAATAGCCTTTACATTTGATGCAGCTCCTTTCAGGTCTTCTCAAACTGCTTCACAAGATTTATTGTAAAGTGTGATGACTGTGTATTTTATATGCGACACAGCAATCAATTTGCGCACAAGCAGTTTCCCACAAATGGCCACAAAGGGAATGACCAATTTTATCTGGGAGATTGTTGACTGCAATACCTTTCTTCTTTTAAATAGCGGTTTGGGATCTTTTACGTCCACCTGTATCAGATAGAAGGATCAAAATAAAGCAAGTACATGAGGCAATTGCCATTTATCCCAAATTCAATGCAACTGCAGGAAATCTCTCCACCTGTCACCAGGTCAACTTATAGATCAAACCATAACCCAATCTCTCAAAAAGCATTTGTAAATATCACTCATAAATTCAAAATACTTCTCCAAACTACAGAATACGATAGGTCTTGTGGTCCGTTTATAGCTCTGCTAAGCATATTACAAGAGAAATGTTACTGTATAGTGTGCTTAACAGGAATGCATTGTATAGTATATTAATATCATTTCTCTAGACAATTCAAAGGTTTTCTTAATCGTGTAACCTCCATATTTGGATTACATTAGACACAGCCTTCAGCAATTTAATAAAACACACATTATACAACCTGTCAACCTGTTAAAGTACCATTCAAATAATCTAATCTACTGATCTTGAATATTACAAAACCAGTAACTTTTAAACAGTTCTAACACACTGTTCATAGCATTTCAGACTTTGCCCAAATGACACTCTATGTAACTCTAGACTAAAAAATAAAAGTGATCCATTTGGCTCCCTTTATGGGGTGATTTGAGGTCTTTCACAAAATAGCTTGTGACTTATCACGATATCCTTAGTTTTGACTGCGTGTTACACTCAAGCTTCCACAATGTCAGTGATTGCTGAAAGCATTTATATCTGTAAACACACACATATATTTCCAGCTTGTTATTAAATGGGTGATTTAGCTTTGAAAAGTAGAACCCAGATGAATCACAAACCTTTAGTGTGAATTATTACATTTTAGTTAGGGTGAGGGGGGGGGAATACAATGCAGAAACCGCTATCCCCCCAAAATAAATTAAGACAAAGTGTTTATAGTTATAGCAGATCAGTTTTATACTGAGGACAATCACATTTGATCTACAGAACCATAGAAATGTATGGCCTTCACAGAGGAAGGCCATTTGGTCCATCATCTCTGCCGGTGCATGAATAGTCAGTCATATTGCATTGAAAACTATCAGACTAGTGTTTCTATAAAGATTTATTTATTTAATGGTATTTTTGGAAAATTACCTCAAAAGGTAATTTTTATTCATTGCTTTAAAAATAGGACATTGCACTCGTGCGAGTATAAATTTTACAACTTGGCGTTTTAATAACCATTTTAGGCCACACTTTCACCATTGGAAGCAGTTTGTCGGTACAAAGTGATCTGGAGTGCTGTTTACTTTCATCTCTGTATCCAAACTCAAAATGACCCAGTTTCAGAGTTTTGTGCATGTGCTGTTTAGTCTTTGTTTAAAAATGTATTGAAGAACTGGTTGTGCGTGCGACTTACTAACAAAATAACTTCTGAATTTTTACCATCCAGTGGTTTACCCAATAAGGAAGAGTAGGTCATTCAGCCCCTCAAGCCTGTTCCACCATTCTATTAGGTTATGGCTGATCTGTACCTCAACTCTATTTACCTGCCTGTGCTCCATATCCCTTGATACCCTTACCAAACAAAAATCTATCCACCTCAAGTCTCAACAAGTTTGAGAAAAGGGACTCATTCCAGTTCAGGCTGTTATGTTTGCCCCCATATCCCCAGTCATATCCTTGAGACTATAAGCCTTAAAAATTTAAGATCACCCATTGAATAACTCCTGAGAGGTGGTGCTTTGACTTGTGAAAAAATGATGCCTGAGATGCCAATAAAGGTGCAGTATCCTTCGCTGTACAAACCTCTCTGAAAGTCTTTCACATACACTTTTTTTTAATACAAGCATAAAAATTCTGTCGACTCTTAAAACCACTTTTCACTTTATTTTACTGCATCTTACAGAGTTATATTACAAACATTTTTGCAATTTCCATTTAACCCTTTCCTGTTGCTTTTGTCTTGCTTACTGAGAGACGAGAAGCAGAGACACCAGTGAAATGCAGTAAAAACACTGACTGGAACTGCAGTCCAATCATTCGATACAGACCAAAAAGCACTGATATCGAACAGTTACCCAATCTCATTTACTACCCTTAAACTAAAAATTACATGGCTTACATAAAACCGAAGGGAGTCATTCCAAATAGTGTGCTCTGCTCCCAATCTCTTGTCTGGTGATGAACGTGTCAGATTCATTGTTCTGTGGGTGTCTACCCTTCTTGTGGAAAATAAGGCAGAATAAGTGAGTTCTGAACCATGTAAAAGCAGCATAGCTCCAAATAGTTCAAACACTCGTGTAGGTGAAAACAATCATCAGCTTCAGAGAGAGGAAAAAAAACAAGAGCCCAGCTGCTGAAAGCTTACAGAAATTATACTGAACTGAAGTCAGGGAATATGCACCTTGAATTTCTATCAAAGTCCTTTACAAATGGCATCCTTTAGGCAACCCAGGCCCGAGGTTCCTCCAGCTGAGCTGCTTGCATACTCAACTGGATAGCAGAACATGGTCCAATTTCATTACTTTTAAAAGAAACCCCGCCTTTCACAACTTTGAAGAATCTTCTCTGATTAAAATCATGTAGAGATGCACAATCTTTCATTTAAAAATTCCTTCGGTTGAAACCAAAAGGTGCATATATAGATCCAGCCAAGATTTTATTCACTGTACACAAAGGGCAAGGAGTGGTGGGAGGGGGGAGAAATAAGCAGCAACTGGATGTTTCTCGATAGGAAAGCCTCTATCCTGTCTCTCAAAGCAACAATTATATTTCCCAAAACAAGAAACCCTTTTGAATTTTGTTCAAAGGATTAGAGGATGTGGGAGAAAAGGAGAAATTAAAATCATAATGTTAAAAACGTGAAACCACTCGCCACCAAAAACTAAACCATTGTTCAAATAAAAAGCAGAAGCTTTCTTGGAAGATTGTCCAAGAAAAGAAAAAAAAAGCGTGCATTCCAAACTAGTAGTGAAGACATATATGCATATATATCTATCTATACAGGCACCAGCAGATTCACTGTTATTTTTTGTTGTAACGCTCACACATATACACACAACCTCTACAATATGTGCTTTCGTCAATCATTGACCTCTGAGGTACCAAGACTTAAAACAATAAAGGAAAAACAAAATATTTTGGAGGGGAGTGGAGGTGGGGGAGGGGGAAAGAGGAAAGGAGCAGGGAAGAAAACAGAAACAGTGCTGTTTGAGAAAAATTTAATCTGGCAATTTTCTGTATGAAGTTGTTGCAGTTGATAGAGGAATCTTGTGATACAAGTTTTCTGGAAACCCGTCAACGTGATTTTCACCAACAGGCCCTTTGAATGGCACCCTACCGCAATCTATAGCCAAATGGATATGTATGGGGGAGGGGGATATTTCCTTCTCCCCAATCACTGAAATGGTGCATCTCAGATAACAGTCCCATCTTTCTGATACCACAGTTCATCCTCTGAATACTTTGACAATTTTAAAACTTTTTTTTTTAATTTAGCACAAATGCGCCATGCCATAGTGCTGCAAAGGTGTGTGACACAATGAGACACAGACAGATAAGAGCCGCATGGAAATTAGAGGGTCCTGTTGCAAAGCAATTTGTAAAAAATTGCATGCACGAAGAGGACACATTTTTGAATTTCTTTCTGGTTTACTAACGTAGCCACAGTTTAAGACGCAGTGCATCAACTCCGTTTAAGTAATATCTGAACAGCCTTTTGTCTCTCACAAATCCAAGATTTTCATAGAGTTTCAGAGCAGATTTGTTTGTGATTTCCGTTTCTAAGACAACCTAAAAGTACAAAAAGAAAGTTTTAGAAAACAAAACCCAGATTTAGAACAACAACAAGTTGCATGTATACAGCACCCCCTCATGCAGGGAAGCATCTCAGAGTGCTTAACAATGGTGGAGCTAGACATCTAAGGGGGGAAGTGACCGTAAGCACGGTGGAAGAAGATGGTCTTCAGGCATGACCCGAAGATGGGGAAGGAGGGAGCAAGATGGTAGGATTGAATGCAGGTTATTTGTGGAATACAATATTAAAAGGCGCCTCTTTAACAAGATCATAAAAATGTGCAACAAAATATTTAAACTTTCATAAACGTAATATTTGACAGACAAGTTAAAGATATTATTAGAGATTATGCCTTAAACTATTAAGCGTTTTGAGAAGCTGCCCGCATGAAGCATGTTATATACGTGCAATTTGTTATTCAAGAGAATTCCACACAAAATGTTACTCTATACATGTAGAAAAACGGTTTTGAGCACGTATCCCCAGTACTTCCCATTTATCAGATAAATTATAAATTGAGGAATTCTGCGAGCTGTAAAGTATATTTCTCTCTCCTCGCCCAAACCAAAAAAGTCTCCCTTTTTATAAAAAATTGCAGTCAGTCTACACCTAAGAATTGTCTGGATGGGCATCACCAACTGGTTCAGTGGCCATTGCCTAGAGAATCTTTTGCAATTTGATGCCCCAAATCTTGCGGCTATTCCTGGACGTGGGTAAAGGGCAACACCTCCCCTCACAGCAGTGCATCAAACCTTTCAGAAAGTCAAGCCTCTGTAGCTCAAGTAGCTCACACTAAATACATGACTACCCCTTTGAAGTTTAAAACTTACCTTCATTTCGTGCTAATTTTTTTAAAAAAAATCTACCAGCCGAGCTGTAAATCAGCAGGATTGTGCCTCCTGCGCTTATCCCCATGCTCATTCACAAAGTGCTGAAGTGCAGGAGATTGACACAGGACAAAGTGGGAATGCTGCAAACCCAGCATTTCTCAAATTTCTGTGCTGACTGAAAACAGTGTTCAGTGCAGCCAGCCCTCCAGCTGGGATGACTCTGGCCAATTCCATGCGGAAAACGGCAACATTGAGGATTTTTAAATTTCCAAAAATTTTGTGCCACAAGATTGGTTACAATGAAGCTTTGGCACTATGAGATAAGTCACATCCTCAGATCAGCTGGGGGAGAGAAAGGAAATATCTCTGGGTTGCACACCTCTGAGGAGTGTGCCTTTTCAGCTCCTGTGTTTGAAGGTTCTTTGTATTTCAATTCAAATCCCTTCCAATGAATGAAATTTGTTATCTTTCGTGAAGGTGGTTGCATGGAGCACCTTCAGACATTGGGCTGGTCCAAAATACAGAGTAGGACCTCTCACTTAAGTTTCCCCTCACCTCTGATCAGAGTGCCAATGAGATGACTTTGAAGCGATCTAGGTCTATGGCCCAGATCAGCTCAAGGTCTGACATGACAGCAGAGGCCACCTGTGGGGGAGGAGAATATAAAACCAAAGTGTAATGAAACTGGAATCAGATTATTATAGTTGTAGATGTGTGTTAATGGCATAGTGGTTGTGTAACAGATAGTACCTCATCACAGTCGCCTTCTACCATGGCATAAATAGCTTTCTTCACCAGATTTGTGCCTGTGAAACAAAGTGAGACTGTAAGGACCACAGAGTTGGAAAATACAGCAATCTGAATTTTAAAGTAAACAGAAAAACAACTGCTGCAAAACTCAGGCAGTCTGGTATCCAACACCAATCCATTCTGTGACAGAATGTTGGGATGTAGATTCATGAGAGCACAGAAGTGCTGAGCTCAGGCACATAGATATACAGACACTAAGAGGACACAAGGCATTTTCACACTGAGGGCAACAGGGGTCTCAGATTGATGCTTTCACACACATCTTGCAAGTGTTTCAGAACAGAACTGGCAGGGGTCTGGAAGCATACTGTCCACTAGATATGAAGGTGGGAGTGTGTAAGGAGAACGGGAAAGCCTTAAGTAAATAAAGGATTTACAATTATTTTTAAAAAATTGCAAACATACCTTAAAACTGTATTGAGATAATATTACTACATAAGTACAGGACAACTATAGTAATAATTGCATTTGATATAGCACCTTATCGCGTCATTGAGATGTCTCACGGAGCGTCACAGAATATATTGCAAAGTGGATTGACCCTGGATGAAATGTGGCAGCCAATTGCGCATAGCAAAGTCCCACAAATAGTCATGGATTGAATGATCAAATCCACCCCCCCACCCCACCAAGCAGAAATGAACCTCACTATAGCCTATTGCCAAAGTTGATTGTTAACATACGAAAAACACACCAGTAGATTAAAGCAAGAAGGATTACAGTATGAGATGCCACAGAGACAGTATTAGAGATGGTATTAGGAATCTTATTAGCAAGTTGGCTAAAGGACATGCACTCCACCATCAATTCTGTAGGGACAACGCAGCAGTGAAAAGACAGGAAGAGTTGGTTTGCTCAATCAGTAACTTTGTTTCAATCTGGAACTAGGAACAACACAAAGAACACAAATAGAAGTGTGAAGCAGTGGGATGAGCGTTAACAATGTAGCATTAGGGAAGTGAAAACAGAAAAGCAGGCATTCGGGGGATGGGGGGGGATAGAAGAGAGAAGATGGAAAGGGCAGTATTGAAAGATTGCGGAAGTCATTCAAAACACAGCTGATCTGTGATGAGAATAATAGGGAAGACGTACAAATGTCTACGTAAATTGAAAATGTATGACATATTGCCCAGTCACTAAAGGAGACAGGCAACTGGTATTTAAAACTGAAAAAATTGCAAGGCAATGGGTCCTTAGAAAAATAATCAGAAAATACACATACAGGCACAATTACCACAAATTCAAAGAAATCTGATGGCTTTAAATCACCGGGTTTGCCTTTGTCCACTCTACTGCATATATTTTGGTCCAGATATTGAGTGCTGGGAATAGGAATACATACAGGTAGGATAGGAGAAAAACATGGGTGTCCTTTGGCATGTTATTTTAATTAATTTCTTTTTTCCCTGTACACAGTAAGATTGGCCTAGTATTAGAACAGTCACTGAATGATGCTCGTTGGCAGAGTTCATTCCTTTAATTTAGATATCGGAATATCCCTCAATTTCATTCGTGCAAATGAATGAAGACAGTCACTATAGAACAAAATGCCATATCACCACCTTTTTACGTACGGCTACAAATACAGTTTCTCAGTGAGTGAGTGCTGGGAATGGGAATACATACGGGTAAGATAGGACAGCACTGCAAATGGAAACTGCAATGAGGCGAATGATAAATTGGACCCAAATATTAAATAGACTTTGCAAAAACACGTTCAGGAACCTTTACCTTCAAGCGCTTTGGGACGCCAACCCATGTGAGGGGTGCTGAATAAATGCAAGTTGTTGTTGTTGACTACGGTTTAACGCGTTAAGAAAACAAGGAATCTTCAGAAAAAGGGAAACTTTTTGACTTCTCTAGTAGGATTACACAGAATCAATGGTGGGTGGGAAGGAAGTTTATTGCAGTTTTGTTTGCCTACACAATCACTAGGCTTGACAGGAAGATGTTTTGACAGCACAATAAGAAGCTATATCAAGAACTATTATTATTAGTATCGCTGTTCCAAGTAGTTTCTGTGCCTACATACAGAACTTTGTTTAAATAACGGAAATTTACTACCAAAAGTATTCAGGCATAGAATATCTGAAAATATTAATGCTACCAGCACAAAACTAATGAAGAAAAATCTGGCCACAATTTACTGTTGGGCATGAATCTGAACAAGGAATCTAAACAACAGTGTCCACTCATTATTAATTCAGACAGGACACAGGCATGTGGAAGAGGTTGGGAAATTAGCCAAAGGGTGCGGGCTGAACAAGTTAGAATAGAGCCCTGTAGATAGATACAAGAGGAAGGAAATGGATTAGACTGACCTCAAAATTAGTTGCAGCTATACAGCCTTTTACTACCTTGAGTGAGTACTCAATTACTACTGGATGGCAGCTCATTTTGGTTTTAACACTGATGTTGTATTTCCAATTATTGCTAAAAGTTCAACGTGTGTTTAGATTTCTAGCCATTTTATATTGACAAGTCACAATTTTTGAACTATTGCAGCATCTGAGCATTTGATATAGCTCCTTATCAAATTACTGAGATGTCTCAAAGCGCTTCAAATACATTCTAAAGTGGACTGACCGTATATTTCGTGGGCGAAACTCAATCAGCACTAGGCTTGCATGACCATTGTTCTCAAGTTGTCAATATTTAGCACCTTATGTTTATCTACATTTAATACAATTTACCAATTATCTGCTTAGAAGCAGCCTCTCTATGTCAAATAACTAGGCAAGTACAATATTTAACATAACATTGCCATTCTTCCAAGAGTGGGGTGGGAAAGGGCTTCACATCTGAATAGTTCCCTGACTCGTACACTGGGGTAAATTGTTGCCAATGCCTACAAATTCTGTGGATGTTAGTTCGAATGGGAAATTGCAACAAACAAATTGCTTGCATATGTGTTCTCAAGGGTTAATTTCTGATCAGTAATAAAGTACTCAGTAAATTAATTACTGGGGCAGACTACTGATGAATAATATAGTAAGTGGAGCAATCAACATGCAGAGTCACTACATTTTACAGCAAACTCCTGTGAAGTATTTGGAGACGTCCTCCTGATGCTACATCAAATACAAGGATTATAAATATTTATAATTAATTCAAAGATAATACAGGTATAGTTAGGATTGCTACTTACATTGAATTAGGCAGCAATTATTGCTTTCTGTGGGGTAAGGAAGGTTTAGCATTCAAAAGTTACATTGAACCCCTACTTACCAGATAGTTCTGCTGGTAAGGGTGGTGGTGGAAGACACGGAAGTTAAGATGCCATTACAGTGGCGAAACTGACTTCAATCACTATAATAATAATAATCCTTGAATTTGATATAGCGCTTTTCACGTCGGGAGGACGTCCCAAAGCGCTTCACAAAACACACTGTAAAGTGAATGGACTGTATATTTGTGGGCGAACGCGGCAGCCAATTGCGCACAGCAATGTCCCACAAACAGTCGTAGATTGAAAATGACCAATTTATTATTTTTTTTTTGGTTTGGAGGGATTATTAGTAGGCGTATGGAGTAAGGAAACTTGCCCAAGGTTTCACCCTGCCTGGAATTGAACTCAGGTTTCTTGCTTGCAAAGCGAGTGCTCTAACCACTGAGCTACAGGACTCCACTAATTATAGTTGTAAATCTACCATGCATGTAGAAAAAAAAAGAATTTCACATAGCTAGTCATTATCAAATATCTCACCGATGCATTTTCTCCTGTACTTGGAGTCCACTGCTAACATTGCTATGTATCCTCTCCTGAACATCTTCTTGTGCATGTCCAACTTGCAGACAATGGCACCCACACACTCATCTTCAACCATAGCCTAGAGGAAAAAAAAGCAAAAAATTGTTAGCTGTACACACAAATCTGGAATTAACCAAATAAAAGACCAAGTGGTAGTTTGATATCAGGGAATCCCTGTTCAGGGAACCAGAACAACAACATCCCACACATTGTACTGAAAACCAAGGGTCAAGGGTACTGTCGGTGCATCGATTTAACATTAGAGGGACTTTACATCACTACCTATGAAAAAACCGTCGGGGGTGACGTCCTTTGAATGGAACGTTAAATCGAGGTCCTGTCTGCCTGTCCAGGCAGATGTTAAAGATCCTGTGGCTTTGTCTGCATTGCCATACTTAACACAAATGTTAGTCCTTTTTTAAGGCATTTATTTAATCCATACAAATTCAGTGACGACCCTTACCAACCATGAACAATACAACTGACCAACCGGTAACAGTTCTTCCAATATTTAGACGGATCACCTCAAGAAATTTTAGACTTATGTTTTTTTACTTTCTAATGTACTTTCTAAGTGGATAAGAAAACAGTTTCACTTGAACTTTTACATGCAGATTGCTTGCTTCCCTCACCATTTTGAGCCCGACTGTCAACTCATTTTCCTCTCTTCAACAATGTGCGGTGGGGATTGAGGCTCTACACCTCTCTACTGAAGACCTGATCAGATCCTCAGAACAGATACTGCTGCAGAAATGGGCCTTTACTAAGTTATTGAAGAGAGCACATTAATAATAATAATCCTTGCATTTGATATAGCGCTTTTCACGTCAGGAGGACGTCCCAAAGCGCTTCACAGAACACACTGTAAAGTGAATTGACTGTATATTTGTGGGCGAACGCGGCAGCCAATTGCGCACAGCAATGTCCCACAAACAGTCGTAGATTGAAAATGACCAATTTAATTATTGTTTTGGGTTTTTGGAGGGATTATTATTAGGCGTGTGGAGTAAGGAAACTTGCCCAAGGTTTCGCCCTGCCTGGAAGTAACATTTTCAGTTACTTCATAAAACTGTGTACCTCCATTTAAAAGAAGAAGTCCACCCAATCCGAAATTTCCGATTTGAGTTACCTGCATTGCACCATACACCCTACACCAAGATTCAACACTTATTCATATTTCAGAAAGATATGCAGTTGTTGAAACTACTTATCCTTCGAAAGTTTGTTTCCAGAAATCATTCATACTATAAGCAGCTTAAGCTCAGGGTAAATTAACCCAGCTACCTGGAACCAAGCCACAGAGGGATACAATGCACCATTATGGTTTAAATCGCTCATTAACTAACATATTCTTCACTCAATTCACTTTAAACACAGTATAAACAGAACGTGCTATGTTTTATAACTGATGGTCTTAGGACAGCCCAATCTAAATCATATTCCACTGATCTTGTTGCATCCTCTATTTTCTCCATTGACAAAGCAGAACAGCTACAAGTAACTGCAAGCCTGAAGGTGGAAAGCTCCCAACATAGGTGCACACCCAGTGTCCTGGACAAGAATTTGCTAACAGAGCTATGAGCAGTACACCATTGGATACCTAGGTTGTAAACCAGCAACATATCAGTTCAAAGGGCAGGGCTGGAACCCACACCTCTGATCAAATCATTACTTAAGTTAAAATAATGTAGAAAAAGGCGGCTGCAATAAAAATGGAGTCAGCTCCAGTGAAAACTGGCTTCGAGCCAGTGCAGTAAAAATAGCAAGACTAGAAATTAAGTTTTAAGAAACTAGAAGCGATAATTAGTGACAAATGATCTGCCGATGAAGTAGAACTAAAAATGCACTCCCTGGGCCTCACAGGTATTTGCTGGAGGCGATCTATATAATGTAAGTTTGTAAATAAAAAGACAGCTTGTGCATGTGAGATTATGGTGATGAGCTTTTGCTACAGATAGGCAGTTACTGGTTTATCATTCCCAGCCACATTGCCATAATCATCAGCCCACTGCTAACTCATCAACTGGTCTAGTAGAGATAGGCATAAATCGTCTCTCCAGAAATGTTCACATAATATGAATGATCACAGATCAGACTATTGTCATAAGTTTTTTTTATATGTAAAGTTCTCTGTTTATACTTGGGCCTATCAGCCTCAAATCAGACCAAGCTTGCATTGTATAGTATAACAAAACCGGTAGATCAACTATTATGCTGGTGCTATAACCCTGGGAATATGGAAAAAAAGAAATATTATAACCCAGGGAATGTAGAAAGAGGAAATACTATAATTCATGGGAATACGTAAAGAGGAAATATACAAGATCATTTATCCCACAAAAAACTAGTACTGGAGTTGAGGATGATGTGTGTTTAAAAATGCACTCACTCATTAGTTCTGATTCATTTCCTGTTCTGTGCAACTCTGGTGTTCTTCTCTGTACCAGCTCCCTCCAACTGTTTCACACACATCCTCACAAGCTCCATCACAAATCACCTCAGAACACCCACCTCTCCACAAACACTAACATTATTCAGTCAGCTGCCATTACAAGGTACAGTATGTTGGCAAGCAAGCTTAAAACACAGTCCTCAGAAAAGAGGTGATTCAGTTCCTCCTAGAGGGGCAGGGAAAACTGAAAGAACAAGGGGTGCGTGCATGTTTACAAAAATACAATCACTCTACTTCACAGTAAAATCCTGTGAAGCAGTTTGAGACGTCCTATCAAAGTTCTAATAATCTATCTTACACATAATAATCCTTGCATTTGATATAGTGCCTCATTATGTTGTTGAAACATCTCAAAGCACTTCACAAACTATATTTTAAAGTGGATTCACTGTGTATTTGGTGGGTGAAACATAGACATAGCCCCAATTGTGGACTTCTCAATATGCTATATCAAATGCAAGGATTATTATGTGCAAATATTTCCAAGATTTACCATGCAACTCATTGTACTCAAGGCTTTGGTCAGTCCCACAAAAACTAGAAGAGAAGTTGCTCATTATGGCATGAGCCAACTAAAACTGCTCACACCAAATGTTTAGAAATGCATTTCAACGAGAATTAAACTGTTGGGGCTCAAATTTATAACCTTGTGACTGAGATCAGAAAGCCCAAGTGCCATAGTTGGCAGGTCATATCCTCTTTGTAGAAAATTACCACCATGAGTCACTCGGAGCAAATCTCTGTGGTCTTATTGTCTGCTATTTACTTTTTAAAACAAGGACTCTCTTGATTTGCTGGGCCTAAAATGGACCAGCTCCCTCAATGGAACATCCATTGTGGCTATTGCTAAAGAAACTACATAAAACATACCTTTGTACTAGTCCCAAAGACAACATTTTACTTGCCTTGTGAAACAGTGACAAAGCAGCATCATCAATTCCATCCTTAGTGTTACTGAGTGGCACCACAAAGGATCACTGAGATTCTCCAAATGCACAATAACAGGGATGAAAATGATTGATATTTCACTTTAATTAGCAGCGTGCAATTTCATAAATGCCACACCTTTTTTAAATGTCCTTCACCCACAAACACTTAAAATTCAAGAGTCCTAGCTCCACCAATAACTCAATGCGTTCATCCAGCAAGCAGCTGTGCACATAGTGAATTGCTGTGCTGTTTTGTCACTGTATATTGCCGACTGGAATCGTGACTGAAATCCATGTCTGGGTTGAGCTAGCTGATCTGTCAGGAGCAGCAGTTGGAATCTGCAATCTGAATGTTGCCCTGTGTGAAGGGCACTATAATAAATGCAAATATTGAACAATTGGTCTCAGTAATCCAAATGAGAAAGACAATTTAGTTAAAGCTTCCACTCCTGATTACTATTTAGTAGCAACCCCACCAATAGATCCTGCTAGAAGTCATACATATGTGGATGTTGGTTTATCAAGCTTGACTGCACCAGGGTTGAATAGCACATCAACATTTAATCATTGAGGCTCACTCACAAATTTGAGCAAGATATCAGCCAGCAATAAGTACCCATTGAACAGTACCCCTGTAGAAAGAAAAAAAGTCAACACAGGGGAAAGAGAGAAGAAATCCACACAAGAAACATACTTTGTTCCAACATGCCTGAAGCAACAGCTGAATCCACAGCTGAATCAGTCTTAAGTTTGCACAAGATTAACCACTTGCTCTCGATAAATGCAGGTTGAGTTTTGATCAGCTTCTGTTATTGAAAATAAAGGATAAATGGGCATAAATGTATGATTGGAACAACCAGATCAGATAAATATCTCACCCCCTCCAGTTATTTTTTGCTATATACATTTCTCATTGAACAGCTTGACAAGTTCATTATATTGCAGCTATTACTCTGCTTTACAGTAGATCTTACAGTAATTTCCAAAAGGGCTCTTTGCTGCCTGCCCCCAAAAAACTCCAAATCACTTTCAAGCACCAAAAGAACAAGTCATTTGGACTATCCCTATTCATCTTGTCAAACAGTAAACAGAACCTCAGAATTCAGTGCAAGAGAATGTCTCGCTAGCATTTTTCCTCCTTTCCCCTCACCTATAGGCGCCTTGCTAATTCATTGCTGCAGTGGTCATTATTCAAATCCAAAAATTAAACAGTGAGCTTTGGAATGTTATTCAACTGTTGTAGCCTCAAAGCCAAGTTCGATCCTATTCTCGCTGAATATTCAACAAGCCTTTCTGAATTCCTACAAGGAGGAACCCTAGCTGACTTTCTCCTAAACTAGCGGCACTGAGGGAAAGTGTGGTCCTTCAACTGCGCCCTAACTGAGATCAATCAACCAACCAACAGTGCAGAGATCAAGGATCTTCACCTGTAAGGCTCGGTTACCCGCTGGATAAACATAGAAGCTAGAATTCCTGCATGTTAAGGATTCTTGGTGAAATATTTGACAAACTGTGCAATGGTTAAGAAATAATGTGCTGTGAATTAAAATGGAACATCATTTATTTTTATTGCATATTTAAAATATAATCTCTTGTGGTGCATTAGGAAAAGTTATGGACTAAATTGCTGTTGCAAAGTTGCAATTTCACAACTAGAGCAGGATCTGAACCTGCTAACTTCTGGTACGAATGACCACCACGTGGTGCTTTTTCTCACTGGTCCATCCAACTACATTCAGTCTTAAAATTATCATTTTAGACTGTTCTCAATCTGAAAAGCCATCAATTTGGGAGAAAAAGCTTTAGTGTCATTCTGAACAGGATTGTGAGAATGTTAGAATTTCTATTGTGAAGTTGACAGTATGCTGTTGTCCATTAACAATAGATGTGCAATCTTCTGACAGGGATTTTGCAAAGGTAATTGCAAATCTGATATCTTAAAGAATCTTGAAGTGTTGCTTTCATTTTACACTAGCTGTGAAAAGAGAGAAAAATATACCCATCTTCAGTATTAATTTTACGAACTCCAATGACAACCTTCATTGGAATTAAAGCTACACAGTCAGACAGACCATTTAGCTAGTAAGATACCCAAGTGAAAACTTAAAACTACTTTAGTAATTTTGCACAAAAATATATCTTACTGTGATCGATCAAAATAGTTTTAAAATTATATATACTGTAGATGGTTATAATGGAGCAAAATCTGCTGGTAGAGTCCTCAAAATTGACTATTAATGCACTTACACTTTCAGAAAACAAGCAGCTTCATTCAATCATTCCAGGTCACAGAAAAGCTTTTCACTGAATCACAGTAATGTTCTACTAATTTCTACCATGTAGTGGATATAATAACTGATATCTTAGATAACCCTGAGGGTTATTCCCACATTGGTCAGCCATACTTTTATGTTTTGTGTTTTAAAGAACTCATTAAAGGTTATTCTGCAAATGTGATACATCTGGTGAAATGCAACTCTGTCCAATTCTAACTCGTTATATAACTGTAGTGCATTAATTTGTTTTTTCCCCAAAAAACAAAAGACATTCCCAAATGGTCTCCCTCACTTTAACCAAAGCTTAGATTAGTGTATAAGATAGTTAGATTGAAAGCAACAAATACAAGGACGCATTAATTATGCTGTCAAAAAAAGTTCTCAAAATTCAGAATTTTCACACTTAAAAAAAACAAACGTGTACAGTACCTACGGACAGGACAATTAACAGCGACCACTGACAAACGGGTGTTAAAGTACCGCCCCTCATGGTAACCTCCAGCAAAGGCAGACTCTTGTAGCTTAGAAATGCAAAATGATCAGAAATGCCATGTTGTATTTCGCAAGCTGCCTTAATACAGTACACAAGCACACGGAGAAACGCATTCAACACTCCCCATCTGGAAGGTAAAAGAGACGTCAGTGCACACAAGGCATGCGCTGCCACTTCTTCTTCTGTACTTATAGTACATACCCAATGTGACCAGAAGCAACGTGCTGCGGACCACATAACTTTTGGATTTGCCTCTCGACCTGTAGCGAGCAGTAAATCACACAACTTATAAACCGATTCTCTCCTCTCCGCCCGTCAAACGCACAGTTCCTCCTTTCGCACCCAATCTCACACTTACCAGAAAACAAAGCTGCGGCCAGTTGTGAATAAAATATCTATAGGTATATATGGAATAAGGTTCAGACAAATCTTTCGTGATCAACCGCATAATATCTGGCATTTGTAACTCGGATTGGTAGCCCACGTATCGTATACTGTCGGCCTCTTGTAAGCTACAAGCGGCCACCGAGGCGGCCAGGCGCTGCTGGTGCTCCTCCTCCTCCTCGTCCTCCGGGCTGACACCGAGTCGCCGCTCGATTCCGTCCGCCGGGTGCTCGGGGCCGGGCCCGGAGACCTCAGCAGTCCTTTGGTTCTCGTCGTGCTTCGCCTCGGCTTTTTTCCTCCTGCCTTCGGGCGGCGACAGTCCAACCAGCGCCGCCTTCAACTCGGCGTCGCCTTCGGCACACGAGAGGCGGCCTCTGCGATCCGCTTTGTAGTGAAGCTCGGCCACGCAGCCGTTCAGGAGCCGCTGCTGCTGCTGCTGTTGAGGAGGAGGCGGAGGCCGGTGAGGATGCGGGACGCCCTTCTTCCCTCGGCTCGTCTCCGGGTACGTGATAAGGTGAGCGCCCGGCTCGGGCCTCTCTTCCTCGGCGCATCCTTGCCCCGCTGTGCCGGCGTAGGCAGCTCCTTGCGGGCCCGGGCCGCCCACCAGCGGCTGGTAAGCCCCGGAGTGGTTGAGGGCGGCGGTCGAAGGCGACACCACGCTAGGCCCGGGCGGTAGATCGGACATTTCCTAAATACCGAGAAGCCGGAGAGGCGGCGGCGAGAGCCCGGGGAGGGGAATGGGAGGGGAGGGGGGGGGGTGGGAGAGGGGGTGGGGGAGAGGGAAAGGGAGGGGAGGAGAGAGAGAGACCTCTCTCAGCAGCCGTACATTCCCGCGCCGGCCCCTGTCAGGCGGCACCCGACACCAACAGCGGCCGAGAGGCGAGGAGTTGAGCGGAGGCGGCGGCGGCGCTCAACCGTCACTCGAGGCCAGCGGCGGCCGTAAAGTGCTGCCCCGGCGACGTCACGCCGTCGTAAAGTCACCGCCCCGCGAGGGAGGGAGGCTGGGAGTCATTTTACGACGTCAACCTTCGACCGAGCGACGGCGAGAGGAGGTTCTAGAAAGAAACGGGACGGAAAAAAAACCACCACCGTCGTGGTCGTCGTCATCATCATCATCAACCAACGGCTTCCACACCGCAAAGGCCGCGTTGCTCGGAAAAGTGCGGACGCCGCTGGGAAGTTAAATATAGCAGGTGGTGTGTGTGTGTGTGTGTCCGCCCCCGGGAGGGTAGGGGAGGCCGGGGCCTCGCCTCTGGGACAGGATCTGGGGGGGAACCTGAACCGCTTCACAGCAGCAACGATACGATGTCCTTCGCGACCATGAACGGGGATGGGTCCGGACTAAGGGAGAGACAAGGTGGGAGGGGCGGGGAGTATCATATCACCTCCGATCACGTATGTGTGTGCAAATGATGAAGACAGAACGCGTCAGACTTATAACCTGGGCCGATAGACATGTTTTTTCCCCCCTCCCCTCCCCCGCGGAATCCGCTATAAACAGCACCCGCTATCAACCCGCTAAACATGGAAGGTTCTGGGCCCGGAGCCTCTGCCGGTTGTTTTGATTACCCGACGTCACTGTGGGCGGGGCGACGGCGGCGGCGGCTCCGGACGCGCACGCGCGGTGCGTCGCAAGCGGGAAGCGGCCTTCACTCCACGCGGAGGCCTCGCTGTTGTGAGTGTCTGTCTCCGTCTCTCTATGTGTTTGTCTCTCTCTCTCTCCTCTGTATGTGTGTTTGCGAGTGTCTCTGTGTGAGTGTCTCTCTCTCTCTCTCCCCTCTGCCCGTTGCTGCCTTTATTATGCCAAAGACGCGTTGTGTGATTGAACACTCGATGTTGCTCAATCTCGGAGGCGGAGCCGTGTATCCAAGATGGAGGCGATGAGCTGAGTTATGGTTCAAAGGCAAAATGTCCTATTCCATATTGGAACCTACTCAAACTATATAGAGCTGCCCCTGGAGGTTCCATCTGAAATCGTTTTGCAGTCTATTTTCTATAAACATTTTTTTATCCCAACTGTGACAGTCGAGGCGATCAGCCAATCCACGTTACACAATTGTCAGCACACAGAAGTGCTCGTTTCTAACCTAAATTGTGAACTTGTAGTCTTAATTGACGCACCACTCAACTGAGACCTTAAATTGAAGTCCATTCTGACTGTCCAGGTGGACTTTTAAAGACTGCGCAACATCTTTTCAGAACAGGGTTCCTCTTAGTGGGTGTGAAATGAGTGACCTACTTCTGGTTGCCAGATGCAGCATCCCTTTAAGATTTCCTAATTAAGAAATTGTAGAAAATCACCCCAAACATAGGGTACACATTGTGCTGTCCTTTCCTTTGAGACAGTCACACTACTTAGAAGATTTTCAGGAAAGCAACGCTAAGTTAAACAAGTAATGTTTTAAATATCTGTTCTGCAACTGAGTTTGTTGCCAAGTTTCATACTGTTAGATGGAACATCTGCAGGCAAGCCTTGCTCTTTGGAAAAATCTTATCTATGAACTTTGCCCCACTACAGTGCAGAATTTCAGGTCTCTGGCTTCTGCGCAAAGGAGGAAGGATGATCTGAAAAGGGCGAACAATGTAATTGAAAATCTTTCTTCCTCTCTGCTTTTGTTATAAATCGAACACATCGGCACATTGTGGTGGTGGAGCTACGTGATACATTTGTGCTGTGCTACACAGAATTGAAGTAGCATTTTGTATTGTACTGTCATATTTGCAAAAGATTATAATATTTATCTTCCAGTAGATTCACAGTACTAAATATTGCATGAAACTTACCTCATCCCCACTAAGTGGACTTTCAAGATTGCAGTCAATGGTGCCCAAGAGACAATGCATATGATAAAGTGTTTTGAAATGGATGTTGAAGCTTGACTAACCTGAATGTGATGCAACAGAAGGCTGAAAGAATGGAAATCTTCTGACCTTGAAAGAGTTACTAAAAGGTGGGTGTGGTGGTCGATTAACAGTGAATGTCCTGAAAGTGTGCAAGAGCTTTAAGAGTTGACCAGTCACATTTTCCTTTGTTATGGCGTAATGATAGCAGTAATGGGGACACTTTATTGCAAAGAATAATGAGTAAAAATCGGTTGCGTAGAGTAGTATGGGACATCCTCCCAACGTGAAAGGTGCTAAACAAATGTAATTTTGTATTGTACTGCACGGAAATAGGTCCTTCAGTCCAACTAATCTATGGCAGTTGCAAGAGAATGCAAGTGAATCTGTAGGTGTGAGTTTGTTGTGTGTGAAAGTATTTTGTGCATACTATTCATGTATGTATGGTTTGTATGCCTTTGCATGTGTGGTTGTATCTATATTTGTATGTATTGTGCATGTACACGTGCGTGGAGCATGGGTGTGGTAATGTGTACCTGTTTATTGATGTGCACAGTGCATATATATGTGTGTGTATATGTGTGTGTATATATATATATATGTGTGTGTGTGTGTGTGGAAGGATAAGAGGACAGCAAACAGGTCAGCATCCTTCAATTGCTGGATGTTGAGTGGCAGGTATCAGAAACTAGATACTCTCTGATGGTTGATTTTCACAGTGCCATAGGATTCCACCTCTATATATTCTCCCGGATGTATCATTTGTCACAGGTTGCCACTTAAATTAGAAAATTTGCAGGAGAGGTTATCTGATTATGCAATGCACTCTGGCGTTTTTCCAAATTGATTTGTGTTGATTTAAAAAAAAACAGGAGACTTGTTTTATGACATTCTGTTGAACAAGTTGGCATTTCAACTGCATTGCAGTCAATGTAACCAGATAAGGGCATGTGTGCATATTTGTAAAGCAATAAAGATTCAAAATGAATAAAACATTAACTACTTCAATTGTTATTGCATTATATGTGTCATTCTTGTGTTTGACAAGGTAGGAATGATATGGATGTTCTCAGGAGCATTAATAACTAATGGAGTATTCCCACTTGAGATGTGCATTCACAGCAATTCTGCTTGTTCATCCATTCACCTTGGCTTCTCGCTTATCATTTTTACCCCCTAGTGTAATTGATTATGTTTTGCTTTCACTGAATTCAAATATTAAAGTAAATGAATTACACTGTTCATTTTCCCCTTCATTCAGTTACTCATCTTTTTCAGCTGCTATTTAAACAGGTCAGAAAACAAGATCACAAGAGAAGTCCCATCTGCCTTTTCAAGAAGTCAAAGATCCCAGAGAAGGGAGTTTCTCCTAGTGTTATTGTCCACATAATATTTGTCTTTCATTTCTTGGCTGTTTGTGGAACATTGCTGTGTGTAACTTGCCTGTTGCATTCACCTACATAATAAATAAAATACAGTCACTACACTTTACAATAAAATCTTGTGCTTTGAAACATTTTGCTGATGCACTATATCAAGTAGAAAGATTAGTTTTATTGTTCAATACCAACTCTACAATTTTCCAATTGCACAATGTTATACAGATTATTAGTTACATTTTTTTAAACACTGAATACTGTACTGGTAATAATTAAAATAATAATCCTTGCTTTTGAAATAGCACCTTTCATGTTGGGAGGAAGTGTTAAAATTACTCCATGTGATTTACGTTGAGGTGTAGTGACTATTTATAGGCAAATTATTTAACTCCCACCACCAATGACTTGTTGACTTAAGATCAACAATTCTTGATGAGAATAAGTTTCATATCATCACTTCTTGCTAGGTAGAGGCTCCAATGGGATTAGTGAGCTAAACATCCCTTCTATCCAGTTCCTTTTAAGGAAGCACCCTTAAAATTAGGTGAACTGATGCTTACCGACTGTAACGTTCCACAAACTGCTTAACAAGTAAAAAAAAATGCTGAATTCTATGAGAAGGGGAACAAAAAGCTGTCCCCCCCCCCCCCCCCCCCCACTGAGCTCTATAAGGCTGGGTCTATAGTATAACAATAAAGGGGGCTTATGTACAATTTGCTGCATTGGCTGCAAGCCCTGCCCATACATAGCAAACCCAGTCGAATCTCTCCCGCTAAACTGTCAGTTTTAACACTGGGATGTATAGTGAATTAATCTGTTAGTGACTGAACAAATGTTTCCCCTAGACAAGTAGTTCCATTCACAGAGTGCCAGTTACCTGGCATGTATATTAATTGGAGGTCACCGGCAGTGAGAAAATCACTGCCACCATTAAATAATGGAGCTGCTCAATACCCTTTTTGTTGGTATTGAGCAGAGTGTTTTCATTGCTAATGAAATGGACAATGAAAAGCAAATGACAACCACTGTGAGGTTATGTCATTGTATTGTGTGACCTTGGGGTTCTTGCATGATACGAGGCTGTAATTGGCTTCGCGTGAATTTACCATTTCTTTCAGGCACCGATATCCCATAAGTGTATTGAGTGAAAAAAGTTGCTGTTTTTTTAAAAATAACATTGCTTGCAAGAGCAAATTATTGCATCAAAGCAAAAAGTGAATGCATTAGAAATTCTTGATGAAGCAGCAGAAAATCCTATTTGAGTGCAAGAAATGTTTTACCACTAAAATTGCATTGCATTTGGCAACAAATTAAACTCAACCATAATATGATCACTCTAATGTAATGTGAAACAAGAATCATTTTACTTTCACATGGGAACAGTCAATTGCATTGAGTCTCTGGGGGTAAGTCGACAGCCTTGCAAAGCAAAAAAAAATAATGTTTTATTATTCATTCTGCTGTCACTACATCAAATTTACCA